CTCAAATATATTTGCAACCCATTAAATTCAATATTTTTTTCTACATAAGATTCTTTATGGTAATTTCCAAATACACATTTTTTATATTAAATGTATTCTGAAGAGAAATGAAAGATAATTGTAGACAAAAGTCAGAGCAGCTTTGCGATATACGAGTATAATTTTCTATTTATATAGCTCTTTACTGCTTAAATATGATGTCAACAAAATAGTAAACCCAAGAAAATCTAGAGCAGAACTGAAATTCATACCTAAGTTTACTATATGCAGTGAGTCTTAAATAAGTGCGAATATTTTTAATGGTAGTATATGTTTTAAGGGTAGTATAATAAGGTTTTTTCGTGTTTTCTGTTTTAATTTTGATTTTTTTCAATATTTGGTATAAAACATAATATCTTATTAATATGACAACATAAATAGCAGATTGAATTTACAAGAAACAAATCCCATAGAAGACTTAGTGGTTATCAAAATTTAAGCAAAAAATTCATTTTTTTAAAATTTCATTCTTTTATAGAGAACTACCAGCCCTGAAAATATTTACACTTATGTAAGACTCACCCCAGACGCGGATATTGTCAGCAGGATCAGGAAGGCGCAGCGAGCCTTTGGCCAACTAAAATCAGTTTGGACCTCCCGTCAACTCTCCGTGCAAACAAAATTAAGAATATTCAATTCCAACATCATACCAGTTTTATTATATGGCTGCGAAACATGGGGAGTGACAAAAATATCTATCAACCGCCCACAGGTGTTTCTCAATCGCTGCTTGCGGAAAATACTCAACATTTTTTGCCCAGACACTATACGTAACACAGACCTGCTTCATGTTACAAACTAACAAGAAGTAGGCATTGAAATCCGCAAAAGAAAACGGGGTTGCATAGGTCACACCTTGTGGAAACCTGATTGTAATATAGCGAGATCAGCCCCAGGAAAAAGAAAGCAGGGACGACCTGCTCAAACATGGAGACGTTCCATACTGGATGAGCTTTTAAAAAAAAGTAGGGTCAACATGGAAGGAAGCAAAAATAACTGCCAAAAATAAAACCCGATGGAGAGCTTTCACTGAAGCCCTATGCTTCGCGTAGGAGATATAGGATCCTATAAGACTCACCCTGTAGGTATGCCTACAAATAAACTTGTAGAACACATATCAAATTTGTGTCTAAAATATACCGTATGATCGAAAAAAAAACGGCGTCCAGTTGGCTTGGAAATGACGATCGATGACATTTCCCATATTATTTTACATATAAAATGACAGCGATCTTCATTTCATAGCCATCGCTGACGCCGTTTTTATTCGATCATACGGTATTAGGTGTCCCAGCATTTGTAAATACTACTAAAGATTTAAGATCGGACTTTTAATGTTTACCTCATTAGAATCTATCATAGATAAATGAAACAAGTTTAGATTGGAAAGTGTCCATAAGGACAATGTAAAAACTATTTGGCGCTATTCTTGCAACGGTCACGACCCAAAGCTTTTGAAAATTTCGGAGCGGTTCGGCTTTTTCCGGAATTATATCGCCAAATATTAATAAGTGTTGCATATAAGAAACTTTATTTTACATAAGGACATGTGTGTGAAATACCTATGAAACTTTGGAAACCGACGTTATGATCCACGATGGTTTTTGCAGTTCACAGTTTACAGCACAGGTTTTTAAGTTTTTAATACCACTTTTTCATAATTATCACGGGTTTGAGTAAATAAAACTTAAATTAAACTCACAATATAGCAATAATTATTTTAAAAACATTTTCAATTAAAGCGGTTTAGATTTTGAAAGATTTATAATTGTTGAAGATTCTGACTTTGACACGAGATATGGACAAGAGAAAATTATTTCTGTTTTTGTTTGCGGTTGTTCATAGCAACCGCAATAGCAGCGCCAGATCGCGTACAACGCAACGGTCGCGACCCAAAACATTTCACTACCCAAAATTTTGACGGGCATTCCAGTCTAAATTTATTTCCGTTAACTATGGAATGTATCTACAACTATAGCACAGTCAATGTCAACCAATGTTGACATTTGTCTGGGTTTGCCTCGGGTTTTGTCACCTGTCACCTGTTCAGTTTTAATTTAAAAATAAATGCAGTTTTTCTTAAATTTGTTAAAAAGAGCTTATCCAAAATTGTTCAAATTTGGAATGTGTATTTAACAGGGGAGCCAATATTTGGATACTTCAAAATTTGCATTGTATATTTCCTGTTTCCAACACCGATGCACCACCCGGTATATATTAATCTTATATTAATAATAATAATTAATATATAATTATATTAATCTTTAGTGAAACAAAACTTGTAGATACGTTAAGGTGACGGCCATAAAATGTTTCTTTATTTTAATACAAAATTTGTTTAAGAAATATAATAACAATAGACGTGTTTTCTGCTTTTCCAAATTTTTAATTTTTAACAAATAAAGTCAAAGTGACTAAAACATATTTATCTTATACCTAAATTTCTGACAATCAAAAGAAACCTTGAACGTCTTTTAAGATTTAAATTGATATGATCGTGGTAGTAGTAAACGGTTTAACACAGGAGAAATTTTTGAGGAAAGATAAAAATTAAGAGATAGGAGTATACGAAGAAATTTGATGAATTGCTTCCTTTTTAGGTAAACCCCGTCTGGAAGTTTATAAGAAAATTGTTCTTTTATGAGGCCGTTGAGACTTTTTCGAAATTTTAAATCGCAGAACTTGTTAAGTCAATTAGGATGTCCTGCTTTAAAGTTTCATAAATAATGTTAGAAATAAATTACAAACTTATGTGGGCCTATTTTATTATTCTCCTTTTTATCATACAGGGTGGCCAAGTGTCAAAAATGCCACAACATTCAATCTATAGTAGGCCAGTAAGCGAGGATAAAAATAGGGTATTACCTCCGAATTCTTGACATCCTCACCGATTGACGTGAAATTTTAACAGTGAATAGAGATAAATGTAACAAACAAAAGTGACATAGTAGCGATGTGTGCTTTCACCGTGGGGGTGAGTGCCATCCCTTTTCGGATGTGAAAAATAAATCACCCATTTTAATTGCCAAAATCAATAAAGGGATGAATTCTAAGTAAAAATGTTCTATAACATTTTTTCAGAAAATTAACATTTTCCGAGTTATTTAGAATTGAAAATATTTATTTTTCGTTTAAAAACTGCACATTTTTCTGCCGTTTTTTATAAATAATTCGAAAACCTCGTGTTTTATCGGAAAACTCATATAGAACAAAAATTAAGGTTTTTATATAGCGAATCGACTCATTTTTGTATGTAGGTGTATTAATAGCCGAGTTATCACTCTGTAAATGTGATTTTTTATTTTTCGAAAACTAAATTTCAACTTTTTACCCTAAAATAATAGCGAAAGGACACATTTTTAGAAGAAAATATATATCCCCTTTTTAAAGTGCTTGAAAAGACCTTTTAAATGCGTTTTCAAATGGTCTTTTCAAGTTCGTAACTCAAAAACTCGTGGGGTTATGATAAAAATAAAATGATCACCTGATTTTTTCGAAAAAAAATTAGCAACAAAATTTATGACTAAAATCATAAAAATAAAATCTATTAATTTTTAGGAAATTACACGAGCTATAAATTAACCTCTATAGTTGAACAGTCTTGACCTCTTCATTTTTACGAGATTTTTGGGTTTTAAGGGCTCAAAGAATGTAGCCCTTACACGCAAGCCAAACTAAAAAAACGTAATATCTAGAAAATAAAGAGATCTACCGAAAATTGGAAGAGAGCAAAAATATTGCATAAAAAAGACCTTCAATTTTACTCTGTCGCATTTTTTACGTATCTTGCTTAGTTTTTGAGATATGTCAAAAAAAATTAAATTTTTTAAAAAATAAAAAAATATATTTTTATTTTTTTTTCAAATTTAGACATTCTAAACCGCTCGAACTTGCAAAGGCTCGTTAGTACATAGTCAAATTCAAAAGTTTTCATTTTTATGATTTTACTCATAGATTTTGTTGTTAATTTTTCTTCCGAAAGATTGAGGCGACCCTTTCATTTTTATCATAACTCCGCGAGTTTTTGAGCTACGAACTTTTTTAAAAATGAATTTAAGAGGCCTTTTCAAGCACTTTAAAAACCGTTATATTCATTTTCTTTGAAAAATGTGTTCTTTCGTCATTATTTTACGGTAAAAAGTTGCAATTTAGTTTTCTAAAAATAAAAAATCAGCTTTACAGAGTGATAACTAACGTTTATTACTAAGGAAATAATTACTCACCTATATCCTATATTTATATCATTGCTTTACCTATTGGGTATTCAAGGTCTGAGTACATAATTCTAATATTTATTTTTTAATCTAACCATATTGTAAGCAATGAATCAATTCTTACGATTCTTTAAACGAACGAGCCGTAGAAACACACGAATCGATCCGATTCAATTCTTACAATTCTTTTTTACGACTCATTTGTTCAAATTTTATGGATCCGTGAGCTACGATTCAATTGTCTACCTCTCACGATACTTTGAACGAACGAGTCGTAGAAACGAACGAGTCGTATTGTGATCCGATTCATTTCTTACGACTCGTTTATTAAAATTTTATAGATCCGAACCATATTCTAAGCCATGAATCGAATCTCACGATTCATTTTATTATTCATTTAATATTCATTAATTAACGACTCTTTCAATCTTTGCCTACGTCTAGTGCATAGTACAATTTTTTGAAATACATTTCTTCTAAACCCCTAATATAAATTTCTATTTTTATTCATAATCAAAAGTACCGTATGATCGAAAAAAAACGGCGTCCAGTTGGCTGGGAAATGACGATCGATGACATTTCCCATATAAATTTACATATAAATTGACAGCGATCTTCATTCCATAGCCATCGCTGACGCCGTTTTTATTCGATCATACGGTATAAATCATTAAAGTATGACTTCTGAATATGTTCAACTCAACAGTTCCTTATTTTAAACATGTTCAACAGGAATATTAAAAACAGTTGAGATTGTTTGCTGTTTATTAGATCTTTCATGTTACATATATATTTAGACATGAAACTCTACTAGGTTTAAGAATTCTACACCTTTCTTATCATCACTTCCAACCAGCTTTTTCGATGGCACACGTTTTACTTCAAAGCCTGACGATTCTCCCGATTCCCTTCGTGTAGGTAATATAGACATCTTCTTTACCTTAGAACCTTTAGATCTTCTACCTTGCTTTGGTATATTAATTCCTGGGATTACCGTCATCCTTCTCGAAGGTGGCATTGCTGACATTTGATGGAATAGATGTGCTACTTCATCTTTCATTTTCGTACTCGACATCATTTGGATTATTCTGTTTTCGCGCTTTTCGAGCTCCTTTGTACCGAATATGTCATCAAATTCGACATTTTCCACCACTTCCAAGCATTTATTGATAAAGTCAACCTTTGTGGAGTCTTTTAAAGTCTCAGAACACTTAATAGCACTGAGGAGGTCGTTTTTGGCGTCATTTTTATTGTGCTGTTGAAGATTGCATTTAGCTAGTAACATTGTTCCGTTAAAGATCCAGTATATTATTTTATTTATTTTGGCCTGTTGGATACATTTCCTTGCATATACTCTTGCCAAATCTAGTTTCTTGACTTCGATATGATACCGCGATAACTCATGGTAAAACCAACAGATCTCTTGAGGTAAAACTGCATTCTCTAACCGCCTCTCTAATTCTACAATCTCTTTGGAATAATCAATAAATACATTTTTGAATTGCCCTACAACCGAATCTTTTGAAGGTTGTCTGCTAAGCGGTAGACCCAATAGAGCGTATATTCTTCTATTTTGTTCAAAGGTACTATGCTCATCGTTGACTCTGTAGACCTCATAAAAAGCTTTGCATACTTTGTCGTAAATTTCATGCATGTATTCGTCCTTGTTTGGTAACAGTTTCTTCGACCTTACGTCGCAGAATCTTTTCAGTTTTTCTACCAAATCTAAGAAGGTCTTTAATTTTTTCGCATCAAAAGCCTCAAGCATCTTAGAAAGAATAGCGTCGGCATCTCGCTTAGTATTTTGTTGTTGCTGCTCTAGTTCAAGTTCTTGGCGTGCTTTTAGCGCTCCGGAAACTTTAGCTTCTTGATATTTGATAAAGTAGAAAGGTCTCCGTGTTCTAAGTAGTTCTTGTTTATATGAAACCGTCTGGAAGCAACTTTTTGCCAAGTGTTTTATTTTCTTCGAACCCCTTTCATTAGGACATGTGGATCCGGGAGCCGTTCGAATTTCTTTTAAGAAAATCTTGTCCAAATACATTGAATCTAAATACTTCTCAGCCATGAAATTTTCAATATTTGAAGTATAGTTTTGCATTGGCTTAAATCGAAATGGTTTGGTAAATGGTGGCACGGGTTCATCGTCCGATTTACGCGAATGTAAAGAATCTCTTATTTCAAGAAGAGTGTCATGATGACTTCCTATAATCAAGAAACATGCAATATTTATATAGCTGAACGTAAAATGCTATTATACAGGGTGACACCTCATTCGCCTAGGTTGATTATACGAAAACGGAAAGCTTTAGAAACAAAATATATTATTGGTATAGTTGGGGATTGGGGATGCAATGTGCACATTTTTTTTTTAAATATACAGGCTGTTTCAGAACTAAGATCCATACCAAAGTTATATTTTTTCTTATGGAACACTCGGTATTTTATTTCATTTTTGGATTCTTGGGTCCAAAAAAGACTAAATAGATTATTACCCTGTACATTACCGTTCAGAATTAATTCTTGTGCTGAGTTAAAAGGTAGAGAAATAAACTTTGCTCAAAAATGTTATTGCTTCCTTAAATTTATACTGGGGTACCAAAAATTGCTGGATCTATTTTAAGGATACATTTTATATAAAAACTTCATTATTTCAAATGCAACACCCTGTATTTTTTTAAATAAATCGAAGTAGATTTAAATGCTCTTTCAAACTATATTAGGGTTTCCTATACTTATCTAGCTGAGATTTTGAATAAAAAGCGATTTTTAAATAAAATGGCAATTAAGATGTCTGGACAGTTAGTAACCATTTTCAAAATCGACATAAGTTTATGGACATTATTATTTATAATAGTTTACTAAATTTACATTATTTTAATTTAAATAAAGTCTATAAACTAGTTTCGATTTTGAAAATAGCTATATTCATACTAGAAACTTGCCATGACGACACTAGCCTTCTTGATTGCCATTGTATTGAAATATTGTTCTTTATACAAAATCTCAGCTAGATAGGTAAATGAAACTCTAATATAGTTTAAAAGAGCATTTGAATCTGCTTCGATTTATTTTAAAAAATACAGGGTGTTGTATTTGAAATAACGAAGTTTTTATGTAAAATAAGTATTTAAAATAGACCAGCAATTTTGATACCCCTGTATATATTAAACGAAGCGATAATTTTTCAGTAAAATTCAAAACACAAAATACACTTAGACCCATTTTATCACACACTAAACCAATACATACTGAACAACAAACAAAAAGTGTAATATACAAAATGCCATGTGAATGCGATAAATTTTACATTGGTGAAACATCTAGACCCTTAAATGTTTGAATTAAAGAACATAAAGATTATTTAAGAAAGGGCGATTTTCACAAATCTAAGATTTGTCAGCATTCATGGGACACAGGGTGCAGAATAGATTTTAACAACTAACAACGCCAAAATTACGATGAACGAAGCGATAGCCTCTAAAAGAAAAATAAAAGAGACTTTAAATACAATTTTATAAAAATAAATATATTGCTCATACATCTATAGATGTTAGTAATGTATGGCCATCGCTTCTTTGATTTTAAAGAACATAAAATAAGTAAACATAATATACGTAAAAATTAAAAACAAATTAAAAATAATCATACAAAACGTTTTTATTTACCTTATTAAGTAATTGTGATCAAGTAGTAATTGTTAATTTTGAAGTTTAACTTGATGTTATTTTGACAGAACGTCAACGGTTTTTGTAGACGTATCTGTTTTTTGAAAAATCAAAGTGTTCTCGAATAGTTGCATTTAAATTTAATAAATAGTTTTTTTTCTTTATTCTTCGTATTTTTTTGGTTCCGACGACGGAAAGAGATAAACTTTCCGAAACGTTAAGCATTTTTTGTTCGTTAGGCAAATTTGTTTATGAGTTTCTTCTAACTGCTGACAGTAGTTTCCCTTGGATTAACACCAGCAGTGTTTACAAAAAATAACTATTTTATTTTGTAGATTTTCTTGCAGTGGCGAAATACCCATATAGGATTTACCCTATATCGGAGAGATGACTTCGCCACATAGGTATAGACATTTTTTTATATTTAACCCTTATAATAAATGCCTTATTTTGTGTCCAAGAAACCAAATATAACATAAAATACTGGGTGTTCCATAAGAAAAAATATAACTTTCGTGTGGATTTTAGTTCTGACATACCCTGTACATTTCAAAATAATTTTAAATTATGCACACTGCCTTCCCACATATACACATAAAATGTTGTGTTTCTACATCTTTCCGTTTTCGTATAATCAACCGAGGCGAATGAGGTGCATCTCCCTGTATAAATAAATTTACCTTTTTTAGCTTTAAACATCTGAGGCTGGACTGGTTCGTGCAGCTCTTCGTTTAACAATAATTTTAGTAAAGGTGATGGTTTTTTCTTTTTCGTTTTCATTCTGGGTTTCGGTTCAAACGGTTTCTGAGCGGCATAGTTCTTTTTCCATGCCAGTTTTCTAATGATCTTAAAATGATCTCTTAAAGGTCTTCCAGCCCTTTCGCCGAGGCAATTTTCGATCGCAGCGGTACAATGCATAACACCCATAGTAAAGTTATCGGGTTTTTGTCTTTTAGGAACCAATCTAGAGTTTTGAACCAAACCTTAGCAAAAGATACGAAACAGTGTTTACTACACTGTGTCAATTTTAAAACTTCCCACCCTTAATATCGTTCTTGCAGTTAAAAATATGAAAAATCGGAAATTTTACTTGTAAAGCGGAAACTTTAAATGAATATTTTTAGCCATTTTCTTTCAACCCCCTAGGAGGGATAGATTTTACCCTTACAATCTTAAATGGGAATGAGGGTAGCATATCGTTTTAAAGGGGCGTTTAATTATCTTTTCAGTGGTATGCTACTTTGTTGCTTTTTGTCCAGAGGTTTCCGAATAATCGCGTTTCGAAGTTGCATCAGAAATAATTAAACATGCCTTCATTGAGATTTTAGTTTTCAGGCTAGTACACACAAAAATTATTGCATTGGGTCTCCTTGTAGTACAAATGATTAGAAGATTAGCTGGCAACATAAACGTAATCATTATTTTTTTCTAGGGGGGTCGAAATACTAATAAACCGAAAACATCATAAATATTAACGCTTCTTTTCTCAAATTCAAACATGTCAGAACTCAGAAAAAAACATGTTCAGAAAATTTAAAAGGAATAAAACAGGAATATTACCATTCTTAATTCGCTTTTGCTTGTTGGGCAAACTTTTATTAAGTGCATAAAGTGTGAAAATGGTTTATTCTCTTCAAGGAAGAACTGAAATTATTAACATTAATGGAGAGGTTGGAAAGTGCGGACGAAGAACAGCATTGGTTTTGAATGAAAGAACTCAAAATCGTGAAGTAAGTCACATATATGTGCTGGATTTGGTGGCAAAGTTCTCCGAAACTGGTTCGGTGAGTAATAGAAAAAGAAATAGCCTACTAGAGTGATGAATGAAGGAGCTCAAATTGAGGTTTTGGGATTATTTTCTGCAGAGCCCACCAGCTCCTTGGGGACAGTAGCACAACAGACAGGAATTTCACACGATACTGTAAGAAAAACACTGAAAATGCATAAATTCCATCCATACAAAATGCAGATACTTCAAGAACTCTATAACGATGATTTTGATAGAGGAATAGAGTTTTGTGAAATCATGATTCGTCAAATCAACGCCAATATTTTTCGAGGACATAAACAATATCCCCAAAAAGTCAATGTTTGGGCTTGCATTCTTGGAAATGCCATTATTGGTCCTTTATTTATTGAAGGAAACTTGTGTGAGATCTTGTTGTGATTGAAGGAAAAGGTGATCTGTATCTTAATATGCTTCAAGAGACTATTGATCCTCTTATCACCCAAGAGCTAGAAACTCAAATTGATGCAGAGTGTAATACAGTTTTACAGGAGGATTTGTTAACATTCCAGCAGGACGGTGTTCTACCTCACTATTTTCTTGCGGTCCGACATTAACCACTGTCGGACGAGAGATTTCCGGGTACATGGATTGGTAGAAAGGAATGGCCTCCAAGATCACCTCATTAGACTTCTTTCTTTGGGGATATCTTAAATCCATTGTTTATAAAACACAACCTACTGATATTGATGATCTTACAAAGCGAATTACAGCAAAAATCCGGTCAATTCCCTGTAAAGTTTAACGAAATGTTAGAGAGGAGTTTGAAAACAGACTTTATTATTGTTTACAGAAAAATTGAAAACATTTTGAACAACTTACAAGGACGTAAGTGGTGTAACCTAACCTTCTAATGATTTGTACTACAAGGAGATCCTGACTAGCCTGAAAACCAAAATCTCAATACAGGCATGTTTAATTGTTTCTGCAACTTTGAAACGCGATTATTCGAAAACCTTTGGACAAAAAGCAACATAGTAGGATACCACGGAAAAGAGAATTAAACACCCATTAAAACGATGTGCCACTTGAAAAGGAGGCTAAAATATTAATTTAAAGTGTCCTCCTTACAAATAAAATTGACATGTTTTTTCGATTTTTCATATTTTAAAATTGACACAGTGTATATTAATGTATGGTTTAAACAATACCTTCTTCAAATTCGCAACAGAGATAAGTATTGAGAGCTTTATCCGCAAGCACTACTAAGTTATCCGCATCCATTCCTAAGGCTTTGTTAATATCTTCCAAAGCGCCTTCATATTGAATAGCTTTGGCCCTAGCTCTGGATCTTCCAATAAGAGCTCTCTTGTCATCCGGGGTTTTTTTAATTGCTTCATCGAAAAACTTTAGGGATCGTTCGTATTGCTCAAGTCTGGATATGTAATATCCAATTTCTCTGTGTAAAGTTTGGTATCCATATATTTCCTCTTTCTTTCCGAATGGATTCATTTTCATGTTAGTTAATACTTATATTTTTAATTGTAATTCTACAATAATATCAAAATATAATTAGAATGGCAGTGACAACAATCAATGAAATATCTGTATGATATCTGTCAACTCCGATTTATGCAGGTAGAAAGTTTATTTTAAGTTTTAATTTAAGTAGAATTTTAAATGAATATTTGCAAGAGCATTAAAAATTATTGTTATTACAATAAAAACAATTTTTGTCCCTATTCCAAAAAATAACACCGCAAAAAGATCTTCAGGTTAATAACCCTAATGAGCCATGTTTTAAAAATACTTCTTAAAATAATTCAACACAGAATATTCAAAAAATGTGAAATTGATTTAGATGATGGCCAATTTGGCTTTCCGAGAAGGAATCTTTTGAGAAGGAGAACCAGGGAATCAATGTTTGACCTGTCTGTTCTTTTACAGACAAAACAACAACTTTGATGTGTAACTTTTTTGGGGGATACTTTGTAGAATTCTCTATATTTTTAAAAAATGCTCTAAATTAACCTACATATGCTTACAAAATTTCATTTCAATACAAACTGTCGTTCTCCTTGGAGCCTCCGCGTCGTATGAGAGGCGTCACCCTGTATGTATGTTTTTGATGATAACTATAAGAGGAGCAATGACAAATATAATGATGCTGCTAGAGATGCTGTCCTCCTGCATAATGCTAGAGGTTATTTTGATATTTTAAGTTAATATAACGCCTTTATTTATTATTTGATCACTATAGCCAGTTATACAAAATCAATCACTACCAGGAACAATTTTAGCCTACAAAAAAATGAAACGTATGTAACAACTGATGTAACAATAAAATTCAAATGTTTCTTCATCAAAACCAAAGTTTCTCTGTTTACATGTCGTAAACTTCAATCTCATTGAACCTGTCCCGAGATCGTTCATAACGTAATTCGAATCGTACATGCCGAACGATTTATTGGCAGCAAAGGAAAAAATACGCTAGGCTAATTTTAGCGATTGCCACTGTTATTTTTTATTTAAATTAATTTGCTACATATGTCTTACATCAACTTGGAAATAATGCCAAGTATGTGATTTCCTCTACTATTATTAATGCTGAAACAGCACGTGCAAAATGAAATCCAATTCATATTATTCATGAAATCTAATCCAGTCTGATTTATTTTATTTCAAATTCCATATATTACTAATTAGAATAATATGCATGCGTTTTTATGTATTCCATCATGACGAACTGATTGTTTCATGGTTATGCGTGTAATGCATTTTGTTTGTTAAAATGGATAAATAAACTTTAATTTATTATGTTTTATAAAGATCAGTAAGATTTAATAAGTTTTTTTTTATATTTTAATCCAGTCATAAGCATGAAACTTAAAAAATAACGCTGCAATAGTAATAACTTGACGCCTCAACGGTAGAATATAGTCTGTCCGGCGAAGGTCCGACGACAAGATCCTTGACAGTGATAGATGTGTCTGTCATTTTAATTTCAAAGTAGTTTATTTTATTTTCCAAAGTAGTAACATAGTTTAAGGAAAAGAGTAGTTGCACTCTCGCAAATATTTTCTGCCAGTTTTTGCAAGCTGGCAGGTTGCAAAGCGTTTCAGTTGAATTCGGTCCGTCGAGCTGTGAGGTTCGAGCGTTGCGTCCGAGCACAGGGACGGATTGACAAAAAATGAGTGCCTTACTGTGCGCTGCTATTAATTGTGGAAATAATTCAAAAAATTGTTCTTTCAGTCTTTTTAGATTTCCATCGGATGTAAATCGGCAAGCTGATAGTAATTATCAATTAACATTTAATTATATTTGTTTATTTTTGAAGCTGAGATATTATGTAATTAATTAAATGTTATTATTTTTTTAGCATGCGTGCAGATTTTAAAAATAGTTTTTTAGATATACAGGTTGTCTCAAATATGCGCATGAAAATATTTTTTGGTCAGGGGGTTTTCCATAAAATTTTCATTCCAATAATAATTTACGAGATAATTTATATAAATTGGTTTTTGAAACAATTTTAGAATAAATATTTTGTACATCTAAAGTCTCCGCAAATTATTCATATTTTTTAATTGAAAGAATTTTATAATAGCATAATCTCTTATAAATTTAGTGGACTGTATTTTTTGATGTTTTTTTTATTTATTTTTTATTATAAGTGGTCGTAATATAACAATATTCAAAATATTATAGACAAAATATTGAGATTATATTTGAGGGAAGAAAAGTGCCACACCAGTTTTATGCATATGTTTCAAGGTTTATAAAGGGGTGTATCCTAAAATATTTTGTTATATACAGGGTGTCACAAAAAAAGTTATGGAAAAGTTAGTTTGATTTTTTTTATTATTTTACATCATTCTATATACATTATTCTATATTGGGTATTTTTTATGGCGTCACCAAAATCGCAATATTTAAAATGGTGTATCTCAACTTTTTTAAATGCGAGAGTCTGTATATTATTTTTCTGTCAGATGCATAATTAAAAAGTGAACATTTTTTTATTAATCTAATGTGTTTCTAAATTTTTACCGCTGTCGCAGATATTCGCAGTATTATATTACATATGGCTCTTTCAACAGTAAATTTTTTTCAAAGCCACCTAATATGATCTTTGTCTGTATCTGTAAATATCCTGTATACGATAAAGTAAATTTTTCTACACGAATTTATTCCGATATCCTTCATGTTTAAGAAAACATAGCAAAGTATTAATAAAGTTATATTCACTCTAGTTTTTTACCACTTTTCGTATATAATGTTTTTAACCAAAGTTTTAGTAAATAAGAAATAGATTGGCAACACCGCAGTGAGCTTTAAATAAAGACAGTGTACTATAGCCATAATGTTATGCCGAATCCAGTTATCTACAGAAAATTAAACTTGCTTTAAATAAAAAAAAAGTCGTAGAAAATCTCTGAAATAGATAATAATATAAAATATGTCATTATATATTTTTTCTGCATTTCTTCCCATCAGAAGATTTTCAGATACAGAAGAATTGTTACCTACACGAAATGTGAAAATATTCTATTTTCAAGCAAGTTTTTACTCGATGATCATTTTTTTTATTTTATTTTATTGTGAACTCATATTTTTCTAAATACATATCTGTGAAACTATGGCGAGTGCCACGTCTATACTTTGCCTAGTTAATAGACCACGACTATACAGCTACGTCGTCGGCTACGGAGGCGAGAACAAGGTCATATAAAATGGCAGAAAAAGAACAAAGGATTTGACAAGGAGTAAAACTACTAGTTTCCTTATACTATGGTAATAAGTTGGTACAATTGGAACGCATAATTAATATATTTAAATTTTGAGTGAGAAGTGATTACTCTAAAATATTGTGAACAAAAACCTGTATAAAAAATCTAATCTTGGTTAATTAACTTTAATCTTAATTTTTTTCTGCAGTATTAAAATGTATTATTTACCTATCGTGTGATATTATTTTACAGATATTCCAGTTTTTGGTACCATATACGAGATGGTATACAACTTTATTTGTGGCTAATACAACTCTCTGGCCATAGTCTCTGGCAAACTGATGTGTCTCTGGCGGTCTCTGTGCCCCGAATATTAACTGTAAAGTATGGTCTGGGTCAACACTTAATTTTCCCTCGAGTTTTCCTCCACTTAATTTTAAAAAACACGAAACACAAGTAACAACACAGTCCAAAATGCAAAATGCAAAATATTTATCATTTCTATTTGACATAATTTGACACAAAATTATAACCTATAATTTGGCAAGAGTTTGACAATTCTTAAAAATCTTAAGTCGAGTTTATACGCATAGGCGTCCGTTTGTCGTTCATCGTTGCGTCAAACCAATAATATTGAAATATGATCTGTCATTTTTGAAATAAACCAATAAAACTGGTTAAAAACAACAAGAGGCGACGCATGACGTACTTATTTATAAACCCATCCATAGTTTAAACTAGATAGAAAAAAATATTAGAAACTTTTTTTAGTGAAATAAATGGATTGGTATGGAAGTCATCTGCTTTTTTTCTGTCATCGTCTGTCGAAATCTTACCTGAGAAAACAAACCAGAGTATAGTTATAAAAGAATAATCGACTATTTGGTTACTAAGGAACAAGTTACTAAACTACGTTCACTTAAGATCAATAAGAGGCGCCACCCTGTATAAGTTCTATGACATCGAAAAAATATACTACAATGCAGTTAGCTATTTCCATTGGAGTGTACACGAGTGGGCTTAGGGCAAGTTTTCAACCATTATGCTTCCTTTAAAGGAAGTAATGGTCTCTAAAACAAGCATTGAACCATGTCAAGAGGTTAAAGTAGGTACACAATCTTAAAATTAACGTCTTTGAAATAGTATATATCTTAAATTAAAATAACTATAAATAAAATAATATTATAACAGATATTAGAAAGATTATTTTGAAAAAATATATTTAGATATCTTCGCATTAGTAAGCAGTGCCTTCTAAGTGAGAAGTATTAGTACCTTGCTTATATATTAATATAATGGTACAAATTTTAGTACTGCTCACTGCTCACATAGACAAAATTAGATAGCAAAATACACTCAAAGTAGTACTCAGTAAAAGATACTTAAAGACAAAATAGTACACATGATATAATAGTTTTTCAACAGTCTTTAATTTCCACTTTAAAGGATGTCTGTCTGTCCAACAAGTCAGGGAAGAATATCGTCAGACAACATCCAACAAAATGACAGAAAATACAATTTACCTGTGAATTAAAATGACAGACAACAACTTTACATAAATAAATTCATAATTTATTTTTTGACCCTATCTGTAAACTTTAGTAGTAGTAAAGAACTATAGTTTTATTAGGTATTAGGTTGGCATAGACCAAAATAGACATGAATAAAACAATCTGTCTAAAATTAATAATTATTATTCAGGTAATGCTGCAAATAAAGTTCTTTGACTCTTATAATGAAACACAATAAGATAAATTATGTATAATACTGACCAAATTAAAACAGAACAATATGTTTCAGAAAGCCTTTAAAATACAAAATATAGCTTTGTTTTAATATACCGGATGCGTCTCAAAAGTGGCTCACCCCTATAACTTTTTTATTTTTTCAGTTAAAAAAAACGAGATTAGGTATGTTAGTATATATGACATAAATTAGGATTGATTGACATATTCAATTGTTTTTGGTCACTGCCTGTTTCACCGGAAATGACTACAACATTTGATTTTTAAATGGCACCCTCCGTAGTTTTTTTTTAATTCATTCGATAGAAAATAACACTCTGAATATAATGACATATCGTATGTCAACTTTTGACATTTTCGCATATGGTTTATTTGAAATTATAACTTGCGGTTCGTAACGAAAATTTGACCCGAAATACCAAGTGTGTGGTATCAAATTATTCGTAAAAAAAATATTTTTTCAAATATGCTAATGAGCCACCCTCATTCTATTTGAAAAAATTGAGATATGATTAAAAATATGATTTGAGCATTTTCTAACTGGCCAGGGTAAGACACTAAAAACATTAGACGATGAAATCTATTTTTCCAAGGCTCCTTGATTAAAAATTAGTGTTTTTAACATAGCCATGGCACTCTAGATTGAATTTTAAAATACGATTTTTTATTAAGGAAGAATGTCAAAAGTTGACATATGATATGTCAGTCTATTCAGAATGTCATTTTCTATCGAATAAAGTAAAAAATTACCGAGGGCGCCATTTAAAAATCAAAAGTTGTAGTCTTTTCGGGTGAAACAGGAAGTGAACAAAAACAATTGAATACGTCAATGAATCCTAATTTATATCATATACTAACATACTAAATCTCGTTTTTTATCTAAAAAAGTAAAAAAGTTATAGGGGTGAGCCACTTTTGAGACAAACCCGGTATATTATTCTAGAATTTGATGCACCTGGTTTATGTCACTGTATTTATTTTTATTTGCAGATGTTTTGGCGAACACGGACGAAAGATTCGACTATCGCTACACATGCCCTAAGAGTTTTAGTAACATTGGGCGAAAATGTTACCATTTCAACAATGGTTCAGCGACGTGGTTCCAGGCGTTCTACACTTGTCACGATCTGAGCAGCAGTAATCTCACAATGTTTTCTAGTCGACCAGATCTGCTACAGTTTGAAAGACACATGCTTAAAAATAAACGCAAGTTTGGAAGTAAGTAAATATATATAGAACAAATTATAATAAAAAAGCACAGCTTATTCAGTGTCTAGCTATTAACTATTATAACAAACTTCGCGTGTTCTGGATTGTCTGGAGTGTCTCTGATCTTTCGTATAATCAACCGAGGCGAATGAGGTGCGCCACCCTGTATAGAATATATAGAATAAAAAACTTGGAAATTTTGTTTAAGTGCAGACCTAAAGTATGTACTAGGATGTATTTCAAGAAAATATTTTAAATTCTATAGGGTGGCTCAAAAAAGTGTGAGGGGATCGAGATAATTTTTGTAAATGGAACACCCTGTATATTATTGCATTTTTGGCTTCCTTTCATATCACTTTACATAATCCTAAGATATGTGTAAATATGTTTTGATAGTTTCAGAGATAATAAACAAATAAAAAATATATATTTTTCAACCTTCATTAACTTAACATTATTACAAATATGTACAACAACTGTTCTGAAATCAAAAATGTATTAGGTATTTACTTTAGATGGTCTGTACTTATTTTACTATAAATAGGGTAATCGTAAATGATACAGGATGTTCAAAATTCGACGCCAAACTTTCCAAATAAAATAATTTTCGTTCTTTTTTTAAATGGAACACCCTGTATAGTATTTTTTCAATAGATGGAGAATTAAAAAATTAACATTTCTTGTATTTAGAGTATTTCAAAAATTTTAATGGTTTTACAGATATTCGCGGTTTTATATTTCATATGGCATTTTCCACAGTAAATTTTTATCAAAGCCACTATTATTTAAGATTATGATATTTATAGGAAAGTAAGTATAGACCATCTAAAGTAAATACCTATTATAGTTTTGATTTCAGGGCAGTTAGTGTATTTGCAATAAAAGGTTGAAAAATATATATTTTTTATTTATTTATTAATATCTCTGAAATTATCTAAATTTATTTATTCATATCTTAGGATTATGTAAAGTGATCTGAAAGGAAGCCAAAAATGCAATAATATACAGGGTGTTCTATTTAAAAAAAATTATCCCTATCCACTGACACTTTTTTGAGCCACCCTATAGAAGTTAAAATATTTTCCTGAAATACATTATCGTACATACCTTAGGTTTGCATTTAAATAAAATTCTCAAGTTTTTTATTCTAGGAGCTACAGATACCCGACGCACTATTGCCGGACCCTGTATTTAATAGCTTTTAAACGCCAAGAATTTGTAAAAATGTATTTTTTTCAATAGGCGGCTTTGGTTGTTTGAAAGGAAAATATGCGCCATGTTAAAACTTTATTACAAATTTGACAGAAATTTTTCGAGAACATCAGAAATATATTTACAAACGTATCCAGAAAGATAATAACAAGATAGAATATTATTTGAAAAGTGGATGAACATTTATTAAATATTTACGCTTTTTAGTACCCAAGTAGCATTTTCACGACTTGCGACCACATGTTTACTAATCACAACGTTGGACTAGTTACAAAAAATAGTTAGCTCCCTACCTTGGGTATTAAAATAAATTTAAACGTTTTTATAACGTTGTGCCGACGTTGGACTAGTACTACAGCAAGGTAGGAAGCTTCTGCGACGTCGAATAAACGTTGTCTTGTAACCTTTTTTGCTTAAGTGATCTTTAAGTGATTCGGACAACGTAGTTACAACATTGGACAATATAGAGTTTTCCGACGTCAGTTTCAGGACCTATTCCAACGTTATGCAAACGTCGTCTGTTTTACTAATTCCAACGTTGTTTAGATTTCCTTATTCTTACGTTGGTAGGACGTCGAGTCACTACCTTTTTGCAACTGTATTGGACCATAACCTTAAATTTTAAATTTTCACTTCATTGTTCTGTTCAGTCAGACAGTTCAGTGCTGTTTTTGTTTTTATAAAAAAAAACTTTAATTTAATAATTATAATTTTTAATTAAAATGGGACATAAGAAAGGTACATATAAAACTAAATTTAAATATACATCGACATATATTACCGATAGTTTATCCACTCCCTGGTTTATTTATATTATAGAGGGCGGCACAAGCTAGACTCTAGGATGACTAAATTAGGCAATCTTGCGACTAGTATACTACCTGTTAAGGCCGAACTGCGACTTTATTAGTCCAGTATGCGGCTACTCGAACTACTCCATCTTAATCTCCAAAACAAGAAAGTGAAAGCCGCCATGTTGTTAAATAAGAAAATGTTTCGTTCCTAAAATAGCAATTCCTGCTTTATGAATACATTAACTGGAAATATTTGACCCTAAAAAACACGCGGAAACAATTTTTTCGACTGCGAATAAATTATTCTCATTTTACTAAAAAAAAATTCAAGAAAATTTTTAAAACTTCTTTAATTTTAAGGCCCATTAGTATTTTTCAAAGTAGAAACAATACATTTATCAATAAAGTTGCTTGCGTTTAACTTTTTTGCCTTGGGTAACGAGTTACAGAGTCGGTTAAAGTGTTTCAATAATTATGATCTTCAAACATCCTCCACACTTAAATACTTTTGTTTTGTTTTCCTTCACTGCCATCTGACATACGTCTCTAACTAAATCATAAAAATAATATTTTTACTATAATTATCCCAATTTAGGATAAAACGCGACTTAGACGCCATATTAGTTGTGTATTTCTGTGAATTAGGATTTTAAACAACGTTGCAGTTTGTACTAAATTAGGCTTCTAGCCAACGTCGGTATCCAACGTCGTTTCGACCCAAAAATTATTCTCCAAACTAGTGCAGACTAGGGTTGGCACGAGGTTGTGCCGACGTTGCGCCCCGACGTTTGGTCGCGTGACACAACGTTGTCCCGACGTCCAAATGCTGCTTGGGTAACTAATGATTATATGGAAACTAGAATAGACATAATAGTAATAGTTCCTTAATTTCCTCAATTTATGTTAAAATCATCAAGTGTTCAATCTGATGAAACAAGAAATGAGGTCCTAATAATCGATCACAGTATTTAATGTGTGAATGCCTGCCCACACATTTAAGCTGATACGAACTTGCGGTCTAACTTCCCTAAAGTGCCTGGGGTTTTGCTCTCCAAATCATATTGAACACACCACAATTTGAAAATGTGCTTTCATTATTCCCAATAATATTTTTTAAAAAATCGAGAAACTTTTTTACAAATTATTGATCAAAAGCTAATATGCATAACTTGCTATACCTACATCGTTAGAATCGCAATAAATTTATATATTTAGATGTGTAAAAGTCTAATATGGCGCCTATAAGAAAACAAATCAAATGACAACACTGTTGTGGAGCTAGTAAAAAGTGGGAATGAATCTCTTATAATTTTTAGTCATTATAGTGGGGTTCGAATTTGAATTACTCTGTATGTATTTGTTAATCGACATCAGCACGAATGTTAATCAATGTTTGTGATATAGAATATTTGGTTTATCCACCAAACACAAAATGCTTAAGAGATTTAACAATAAAATTTTAAGTTTTAAACTGATGCTACTTAGATATTTTGACTATTTTGTATAACGAGGAGGAAGCACCGATTGCATTTTACTATCAATTTCAATTCAATAGCTGGCTAACAAAATTTTCTATTTATTAATGGTGGGCGTCTGGTCGTTCTATCTTTATTGGTCCTTACAAAACAATTTCAAAGGCTTCATTTTTATTGGCAATTTAGATTAAAAATAGCATTAGTGTAAAGAGCGTAATCTTGAATTTGTCCCAAATAGCACAATATTTTTTTTATATATGTATTATGTTCTAATAATTTAAAACTACTTTATTATTTAATTAATTAATTAAACTAATTTTTTAACAATTTAGGCAAAAATCGTACTTTGCTGTAGATTAAATCTATTATTTAATTTTCATTTGGGGGTTACACAGGTGCAAAATAACGGTTCGTTCCATTTCTATGTAATGCTAATATTTAAATAACATATCAAACGTACACGTATGATTTAACAAGTAAATACAATAATAACTAATATTTTTTCTCGAAATCTTCACATTTTGTATTAAATATCTTATTTATATTTTAAATTTATTCTTGAATATTTTGAACTTATAAATTTTTAAACCTATTCTTAATTAATTTATTTATTATACATGTACCTATAACATTATGAAATGGCTTGCAATGTTTAGATTCTAGATATTTATTGCTCTTAACTATTCACTATTTACTTTCTATTTTTCTATTTTAGCAATCTTGTGGTACGGATGATTGAAACATGATTGAAACCAATCGATTTGCCAGTTGTAGTTGTTGTCATTTGTTCTTTTGTTAATAGTTTTGTTTTCTTTTCGATTCAAGTATTTTCTATATACAGGATGTCTCAATGTACAATGACACGTGTATTTGGACAAAATAAATTCATATGTCATCTGAATTATTTACGATTTATAAATTTTCTACAAAAACAAAGAACAATTGTTGGTGGCAAGTTCATTTTGGCTCTTAAAAATTAACCAAGGCATGTGTTGACATGGAAAATGCTCAGAAGACATGGTTCTGATCGAAATATAATGTTTAAGGAATAGTAACTCACGAAATTATTGCACAGGGTATTTTAAAGTTAGGGTAAAAAAACAACCCTTCAATTAACCCTCTATAATAAGCCAAATACTAAAGTTTATAAAAAACTGAGTTTATGAATTAAAGTTAATAGATTTATATACAGTTTGCTAAAAAAATCATGAAAATAGGACTAAAAGTAAAAAAATATAACATTTTAAACTTGACTAAAATATTCTCCGTTGCTTTTTTTTGCATTTAAGTATAGATTAATTTCACTAACATTACATTGTTCTAAAACATGTATCACACTTTTCTATATTAGATTAATTATAGGATTTGTCCTTTTAATAAACAAATAAATGCTTTGTTAATAAACCAATTAAATTTAAACATGTTACTTAATCTAATTACATATTTTATATTATAAAAATAGGAATTGGATACTTTAAAGGAAGAATGGAACTTTATTTACCGTATGAATGTGAAGCTTATTTTCTATTGTACTAAAATCTGCTAGCCTCAAATATCTAGGATATAAGCAATTTAATAAAATCAAAAAGACGTTTAGTACCTAGCACAAAACAACAACGTAGGACGTGTCTTCGAACTTCTCTAATCTTAAAATGTCCAAATGTCAGTTGGCGTAATATAAAATTGAGCTAATAAATTAATATGATATTATTTATTTATAGGTCAAAGCACATCCTTCTGGGTAGGCGGTTTCAAAAATTGGAAACAGAAAAGGTGGATTTATACGGACGGGAGTCCGATCAAATTTTTGTCTTTGAAGGACATCGACAGAGATGGCGAGGATAATTGGACGTGTTTGCTTTTCGACGTAGAAAGAAATAGGTAAGACGTCTTAAAAAATAAACACAGAAATATATATTGCGTTGAGAAAAATGCAATTGAAATGCAATTGAAATATCAGAAACGTACTTTCTGTGCATTTGATATTTTTCTCCGATTTGGCGTTTTCTTACAAATCGATTTTATTACACAGGATGACTCAAAATTACATACAGGGTGTCCCACTAAGAATAGCTCTCGGACGTATCTCGGAAAGTATTAGCCGAAAAAAATATTTATAATTAAAGGGGAATTAATATATTATTATTTTATATATATAATAATTAAAATTATTATAATTATGGGAAATTGCTGGAAATTATTTTCAAGTTTGTAGAACGACCGCTAGGGGGCGCAACTGCAACAAAAAATAAGAAAATGGGAGTTTTTACACAATTTTGCCTAGATAAGGTGTACTATCAGTAACAGCTTTATAATCTTCAGTAAATTTTGAATATTTTTTGTTAGAGCCATTTTCCCCTATCTACCAAAATAAAGTGGTGGGGGAACGTTAGATCTGTTTTTATTTGAATATTAATAACTCTGGACTGGATGATCGGAATCCAACAAGCGAGGGCTCGTTTAAAAGAGCGTTTCTTACTCTATATTGTACCATATAAACAATAATAATAAGCTTTTGAATGTAGACGCTAGGGGGCGTTGTCTTACAATTTAACAAACTGCGCGTTTTTTCAAAAAAATTAAATGCAATAGTATATGTAATTTTAGCTGATAGTAAAGAGTAGAAAAAGCTTGAAAAGTTAGCGAAAACCGCATCTTGATATCTTCTTTCAAACCGAAGATACTAGCAAAATTATAATAAATACCAAAAAATAAGCCCTTAATTATCTTACTTTTACAACACGGTATCAGTAGCCCTCTTGTTTATGCCCATTCTAACCTAAAAATAAGATAGAAACAGTTAGTTTATTTTAAAATCGAGGATATACCAGAATATCATAATATTAGATGTATTAATATATAATAATTAAGATATTAATAATAGCGAACAAGAAATGATGATTCAGTGAAGTCATGGTAGGCTGTGGAAAAAAGTTGCTTTTGACGTAATAGTATAAACGTCAAATTGTTATTAGATCAATATTTTGATAGTCTTATGCCCACTTGCACCGTTTGTATAAACTTTGTTTAAAGGCTAAACAGTGATTAACTGTAATAAAATATGTATAGTTAATCACTGTTTAGTCTTTAAACAAAGTTTATACAAACAGTGCAAGTGGGCATTAAGTTTTCTACCTTTTGATTGCTTTTTCAAAATGCCAACAACTTCAACTACTTCAAATAATAAAGGCATTTTGAAAAAATACCATATTCGTCCTATTTTACACGCAAATGTCTATCTGGAATGTGAATTTCGAAAATAGCACAAATTTTATGAATTTGACATAAATTATCGCCAAGTCAACATGAATGTCAATTATCAAGATTTAACTCTCCTAAAATAAATAAAACATGCCTAGAACAATAAATCCGTGAATAAAACTTTCAGAGAATTAGTACTAAAATGAATCTTATTAACACTGGTCTGAGACATTAAAATAAATAGTTTTGTTAGATTTAAGAACGATAGCGGAATTACCCATTATAACACTAATAAAATCCTTTTATCTTGTTTAATATAACAATATAAATGTAATTTTCAAAGCGATCCATAATATTCTAAGAATAATTTAATTTTTAATCTAATTTAACAATTTATTATTTTAGATACAGTTTTCATGTATTTTAAAGTTTTATATACATAGATTGTTTTAGGGGACCGCTTTTGATGATTTTTTAAGCATTTTGTAGCTAAATTATTTGACTTTTTAGTATCTCTTTCTAAATTAAAGATGAAAGTTGCTATCTGTCAATTAAACGATGGAAAACAAAATGTTAAAATTTTGGTGAAAGTTTGAAACACCCTGTGGAGTACGTCAACAAAGCAAGGAATTTAAAAATCTATTTTTTAGGATTTTAAATCATCTAGGTGTATCTTTTCTCGATATTTTGTTTTTTGATTCATCTCAATAGCACTATAATTTTCGGAGATATTCGCTTTTGAAGTAAACAGTTGCATTTTTTCGTATTTTCTTATTGAAACTATGTCATTGCTTTTGGTCCTAGTCAACAGAGTATAAAATAGTGTTTATGATTTATTTATTGTCACTGTCTTTGAAAAATCATATTATTATTGTCTGTTGGGCAGTTACTCTAGCAGATATGATTTAAGTCCAAAAGTTGATCTCTACTATGATCAATAAAAGCAGCAATAACAGATACTTCAGCTTCAGAACTACCATCTCTACTAGAGTAAACGTCAATAAACAATAATAATGTGTCTTCTCAATGACAGTGACATCACATAAACAATAAACACTATCTTATAAGTGTGTTGACGAGAATCCAAAATCAACGCGAAAAAAGCTGTAAATCGTTACAGTCTTATTCAAAAGCTAAAACATCTCCAACAAAAATAAAGCTAATTGAGATGAATCAAAAAACAAACTATCGACAAAAGATATACCTAGATGACAAAATGATTTTTAAATTCCTTGCTTTTTTAACATATTCCACAGGGTGTTTCAAACTTTCACAAAAGTATCAAAATTTTGATTTCCCTCATTCACAGATATTAGCTAATTTAGCTACAAATTGCTTAAAAAATTATTAAAATCGGCCCACTAGAACAAAATATATTAAACTTTAAAATATGTACAGGGTGGACCCATTTTGGTTGTTTCTATAGGGTATTTTGGAAACCGGGATTTTGGATCTTTTCAAAAACCGCGTCCGAAAAATTTTCAGAAAGAAGATGAAGAAAATCAATTATATTAATGTCCTCGCAGCCGTAACACTATTGAAAATGATGTCGGAGTTTCTCATAAAAAAACATTGAAGATTTTAAAGAAAAATAAATATAAAAATGCTATAAAGCAACGAAAACCCCAGCTTCTATATCCTGAAGACGCAGAACGCAGAATCGAGTTTTGTAATTGGTACGTATTTGGGAGTTTTAAAAGAAAATGAATTGTTGTTTGATCAGATTATCTGGAATCAAGTATTTCAAGTGATGGTATATTCAACCGGCATAATAATCATATTTGGGCAGATCAAAATAGCACAGGGACGATTTGGTTTTATTAACGTATTGGCATTTAACGTATGGGTTGCTTTACTGGGTAACAGAGTTCTTGCCTATGAAATCTACGAAGGGAATTTTAATTCTCACCGATATGTTCAAATTTTAGAAAGACACATTGTTCCATTTTTAGATAACTTGCCTTTGAGGGAAGGTGAACAAATATTCTTTCAGCAAGATGGAGCTCCAGCTCATACTGCGACAAATGTAGTCGAATATCTCAACGCGAACTATGGGCAAAAATGGATTTCAAACAATGGACCAATCAGGTGGCCACCTAGGTCACATGATATCACTCCCTTGGACTTCTTTCTCTGGGACTTTCCGAAAAAGGAAATTTATCGAAATGCAAATAGAAAATTAGAAGAGTTACAAGATAGTTTTGTTGTGACTTTGCAAAATGTAACCAACATACACATTCGAAATGCTTTTAGCGGCGGCGTGCGGGGGCGATGAAAACCCTGTCTAGATAATAATGCGCAGCAGTTTGAACATTTAATGTAGTCTTTTTGTTTTTTTTTAACTGAGAAGCCCGATTGAAGTAACCTGAACCCGATAAAAGTAAATTAATTGTTGAGAATTGTTGAGTTTATATATGTCGTAGTCTCATAGTGTATTCCGTCTTTTCATGAAAAGCCTAGTCACTTCTTCACGGTTTTCTAGATACCCTATAGAAACAACCAAAATGGTCCACCCTATACATCAAAATTTTAAATGTGCCCGTTTTTCGTACCGGTGAGTGTATGAGTGTATAACTAATGCAACCGTTGACAGTTCTAACAGAATTATTAATGAATGTCATTCATAACCATCAACACTGACTCCAAACCACGCGAACAGTATAAGATGTTCTTTTAATGTTTTTTGTAAATCAATAAACAATTAATTGTAACACTATACATCTTAATTGTTTCCAGATGGCGAGCGGAGAACTGCATGAAACCGAATCCGTTTATTTGCGAGACCGAACCTGAAGCGTTGGTCGCCTTCAAAGTGATGGATAAAAAAAGTGAGAAAAAGTTAACGGTCGAACGGTGTCTCGAAAACTTCGAAACTTTGACGAAAAGGCAGAAGAAGAGATGTCAGAGACTGAAAAATAAGCTGTTAAACAAACCAGCAGCAGTAAGTGAGTAATAATTAAGAAGTAGCAGTATTTTAGTTGTATCTGTCTTGTTTGTGTCGTTGTTTCGAATTCCTTATTCTATTTGCAAATAGTTTTTTACCATTATTTTAGTATATTATTTTTATGCATCGTTAAATTCGATGAAGATCACCGCGACCCTACAGATCTATTGTGTATACCGTTTCTTCAGTTCTTACTTTCTTGAGTTATAATTCATCATACAGTCTCAAGGCTTTGACAAAAGCCAGTATCTGAGACGGCTCTACACCCAGGCCACTTCTTCATATCCGACATCAACCGTATATACCAAAGTTTATGGCACGAACAGTTGTCGTCTCGGCGCACTCAGTGATAAGGTGTTCTGGTGTTTCCCTATTTTCCCCACAGAAGCTGCATTTGCCGTTGATTTCCAAGCTTCAGTTTTACTCAGGTGTTCGTTGAGAAGACAGTTGTCCTGTTAGAAATCCCGTCACAATCCGAAGATTATTCTTACATAAAGTTCTGAGAAATTTTTAAACTCGATGATGCTCTGCATTATCGTTACTTTGCATCCATGTGTTCTGTGTGTTGTTTGATCATATTTATTTCAGCTTGTTTTCTAAAATCGTTGTTCCACGTTAACTTTGTACGTGCCCTTGTTCTTCTCGTTGGTGAACCATAGGATCCATTCGCCTCAATTTTTACGGCGAATTTGATTTAATATCTTCATCGTGGCTCTAACTATAATAGTTTCAGCTTTGACCTACAAGTGTAAGACTTGGTTTTCATATACCTAGAAGACACGTTAAAGCTTTGGAATATCTTCGGCTGAGCCAAATCATGTGTATAAATTGGTACCATAAAGTATCAAACAATCAAGTATTGCCAAGAACGGGATGCATTAACATTGAGGATATTATGATTATTGTTAGTTCCCAGTAGTTAGTGCGCAGAAAAACATCGTGGGTGTTTGGGAAGGCTCGAAAGGAAACAATTATGTTTTTGCGACGTTTCGCGACTTTATTGTCGCTCCTTCAGCTTCTTTTGGCCTTTGATTATCATCCGTCAAAAGAAATTGTGGTTAGAAATCAAAAGTTGAATGTTTAATAAGATAAATATTAGGCTTTCTCTATGGATACAACTGACTACCGCAAGCTGTTGTTAGGATATTCTATTAATTTTAATTGAGTTTTTTCAGAGTGTAATTGAAACCACTAATTTATTCCACTAATTGCGAGGTTCTGAATGAAGCTTTACTCATTATCAGATATTTTGTTTTATATATTTTATTCTTTATAATTCAAACTTTTCTTCTCTGGTTATGGTATTTAATATCTGTAGTAATTAGTTTATTAATGACACACCGTTAGCAAAAGCCTACATTCCTATGCATTAATAAAAATAATATTTCTATACAATATCAAACGCTGAAATAAAAAAAATTATTTGAATAAGTTTCGAGAGAAAAAAATTTATATTCAATTTAAGTAAGGTCATCGTATGTACAAATTCACTATATAAACACAATTTTTGTATTGTTCAACATATATCCATAAAACAACATACTTAACGAAATTGAGTAATAGTTATCTCACTAACCTCAGTTTACAAAATTTTAACTACTTTTTACACATTCAAGGATAGGCATAATTCATAAAGACGACTTTGTAAACATTCATAAATCCTTCTCATAGTAATAATATTATGCGGTTCATTAATTTTTATCGAGGCTCATCTGTGTTTGTCTATGGTTTAGTCGAAAAAAATAAGCTTCCAAGCCAAATAAACGAAAAATTTGATGGAATTTTAATCGGATGTGCCACTATTCTATTTTTAATAGGATAGTTTTTCGGTCTGGTGAAATCGATCAATTCAAGGCCGTATGCACGATATAGAGAGTTATTTAAATCTTTGTTTTATATTATATAATATATTAGGTAATATCTTCTAAACCAAAGTGTTTCAAACTGGGGTACGCAAACCCCTATAGTTTAATTTTAAATATCCGTTAAAGTACATTATTTTATCTGCTCTAAGTAAAATTAGAAACATTTTTTCATATTACTAGGAAACATGATTAGATCCCTGTTTTTTAATTTTATTTCCTTTATTTTTGTTTTTTTTTACAATATATTAACATATTTTAGTATGGGCGGCTATACGTGCCTCCCGGCGCCATTCTTTTACTATTGTTAAAGTATTATATTTTCCGATAACTGTTATCACCGAGACTATCGGTGTAATGTAAATATAATTTATTAAGTTCCATAGAAATGAACTTAATAAATTTTGCACTTTAACATTTTAAGACAGCAAAAAATATGACGATAATTAAAATTCTATTAATAACACATATACCTGGGCATACGAGGCTTTGGGCCTTAAGCTAAACATCGACAAAACTAAAATCATGTGCACCCCTCCGGAAGATCACAACAATGCTATAAAAATCGGAGAAGAACTACTGGAATATGTAGCGGAATTCAATTATCTCGGCAGTTTGATTTCGGAAAAGGCCAATATCGACTCTGAAATTCAGCACAGGATTAGCAGCGCTTCAAGAGCATTCTGAAAATTAAAAGACAGGGTTTTTACAACCATGACCTGAGCACAAAAACGAAACTTGCAGTGTACCGAGCAATAATAATCAACACCATGTTATATGGGAGAGAAACCTGGGTGCTGTACCGCGGACACATGAACGCATTAAACAAGTTGCAACAGAGACACCTTAGACAACTCTTAAGAATCAAATGGTTCCATCACGTCTCAAACGTATCGGTTCTTGAAAAAGCTAACTGCGAGAGTATTGAAGTCATGGTTACAAAATCCTGATTAAGATGGGCTGGTCACGTATGCAGAATGCAAGAAAACCGCATACCAAAATCACTGCTTTACGGTAAGCTTGTAGACGGTAAGAGGAGGCCAGGTGGACAACTCAAAAGGTACAAGGACATTTTCCTCGAAAACTTAAAGGGGATTAATGTGCAGAATGAGTAGGAAGTAGCAGCTCACAATAGAACTCAATGGAGAAGAATGTAAACTCAGTTAACAGCGAGAACCAAAAAGTTAAGAGGCAACAAAGCAATGAGATTTTTGAATGTCCGGAGTGCGGTAGACAAATAACATCACGTATTGGGCTTTTCAGTCACAGAAAGGCTCATGAAAGAAAACGCCTTGCGTGACCATCTTCTGATGCGTGTCAAATACTCGTCAGCGAGTAATGGCAGTAAGTATGTATGTATTAATAACAACCTATCAAACAATTAAATCGAAAAAAAAATCATGAACACGTCTATGAGGTTTTTTTCTCAAAAAAATATGTTGAAAATCGTTAATTTTTTCTAAATGTTCGTGTATATTTAGACAACTGTTTAGAACTGCCTGTTCACCGTAAATTTCACTATCATATAATTTCTTAATATCTGATATTACCATGGTAACGACTTGACCCCCTTTATTGTTAGGGCACTAAAAGTTATGCAATACAGAAAAAACCGTGGCTCTCAAATCAATTTTTCCGGTCATTTTGGACTTATTTAAGAAACGGTAAAGAGAAAATATGTTTCTTTTATCGAGGACTATCAGCTCTGAAAAAAACATTAGTGTTTTTAACGCAGCCATGGCACTCTAGATTGAAATTTCAAAAGTTGACATATGATACGTCATTATATTCAGCGTGTCATTTTCTATCGAATAAAGTAAAACAAATACCGAGGGTACCATTTAAAAATCAAAAGTTGTATTTCCGGTAAAACAGGAAATGATTAATTCGAAAACAATTGAATAAGTCTCTCAATAATTTATGTCATAACTAAAAAACCTCATTTTTTATCTGAAAATATAACAAAGTTATAGGGGTGAGCAACTTTTGAGACGCATCCGGTATATGTAGGGCATGAAAAAACGAAGTTTGGTTGAAGTTTTGTTTAAAGCAATTCATTCCATCACTTTCCTACTAAAGAAAACGCCTAGAAAACTATCGAACCTTATAAATTTAGATGCTTCAAAGAAGAAGCAATAATATTGTTGAAAATTGTCACCTTATTTTCATTATTTATAAAATAATAATAAAAACTTTATAAAATCAAAACCCTCAACCTAGTTAACCTTATGAATCAGGAAATGTCGCAAAATATGACAACAATGTCCACACTGCAATAAGCATTACAATTATTGTTACCAAAATATCGTATTAGGGAGAAGCTATATTGAATGTACAGGATAAGCTTTTTTCTTACTCTTTCAAATGAATGGTCTCCAACTTTTGTTACAAAACGGCACGGAAAGAAGAAGATCAGTACAAAACAATAATTAGTTCGAAATCTATTATGTATACAAGACTATACAGGGTGAGTCTTAAATAAGTGCAAATATTTTCAGGGCTGGTAGATCTCGATAAAAGAAATATAATTTCTTTTTTCCGTTTTTCAAATAGTCCAAAATAACCGAGTTATTTTGCTTTGAAAATTTCAAAAAAAAAATATTTTTTGTTTAAATTTTGAGAACCGCTGGATCTTTTCTGTGTTTTCTTTCTTGTAAATTTAAATTACTACCTATGTTCCCATATTATCAAAAAATTCTGTTTTTTTAACTAAAAGCTACAACATTTGGAAAGAATTTTTCAAAAAATTCCGAATTTAATTATTTTTTGCTAAAAAACTCATAATTATGTTTCTTGGATGGAAATATATTATTACCCCTAAAATATTTGCACTTATTTAAGACTCACCCTGTATATGTACAAAAAGTATTTAACAATCATGCTATGGACGTCGGAAGTCACCTTTTTTTCATTTTTGAGTCATCTTTGCTATGAATTTGATATAAGGAGTGAAAACATTTCATTATCTCAGTGTAAAACTTATTAATAATTGGCGAAATATATTAAGGAGAGGGATGTTAACCTGAAATTCCAGTTTGAAGATGATACCTGATATAAAAGTAACATATTGGCGACATATTTGAACTTTATTGCGATGAAATAAGTATTAATTGATTTCCCCTTTTGCATATTTTGTTTTGACTTAGATTAGAAATGTTATCAGTGGACGTCCGAATAGAAGAATTATTATTTAATTAATGTAGGGTAAAAATGAAGATAAAGATGGTAAAAGAAATTAGGCTGTCTTTAGGAGTTGCTACGCTGAAAAATGCGATTATTTTAAGTTTATATGTAATGATATATTTGGAAACGCCTAATCTTATGAAGCAACAAATACGTTTTATTTTATAATACATAAATCTGTTTGTGTAACTTAATGTCAACCATCAACACCATTAATAATAATTTTAATACATAAAAATAATATTTACTCTAATTATTGGAATTGCGGAAGGTCATCGGGTCGTGTGGATAATAAGTGACTATATTTCACTTCATTGATTGATGTTATTTATATTTTTTATTCAATTAATTATTATCATATTAGGTTATGAAATACTGGCCATTTAATTGCGATAGTTCAGGGTTTCTTGAACTTAAAAATTATCATGAGACATAAAATATACAAAAGAAGAAAAAATTGGGATTGAAAGGTTCTCCTAATATATACCACTCTTCCAAATGTCTACCTCCATTTAAATTGGCCTTTATAGAGGAGTAGAGAGACAGCCCATAATGTGTGTAAAGAATTTTTAAAAATTTGATTTCAGTTGGACTACAATCTTAGTGATTAAGTTAAAGCCACTACATTACAGAACATATACACACAACGAAACTTATATTGAATCACTATTTCTTACCAAACTTTTTGCAGGGAAAATTATTGATATACAACTTTAAGGCAAGGTTTTTTGTTGTAAATAATAAAAAAATAATAAAGCATGATAATAGAGACTAAAGGAATGCTGCGATTTATTTTCTTGTCAATTTTGTGTTTAGTGAGAAAATCACGATTGTTCGGTAATTTTCATTCGATCCAAAAAAAATAAAAAATGCCTTTTGTTGGATTAATAGATATACAAAGGAGAAGAATTATTGCTCTCATTGAAAACGGAATGCCCCAAAGAGACGTAGCAGAAATAGCAGTCGTTATCCACGGTGTTGTATCCAAAACATATGCAAGGTAGTTGGAACTAAGAACTGTCAAGATCAGGCCCTGACAAATTCGTCAAAAAGTCACAACTGAACAACAAGACCGCTTTGTGTGCCAAATTGCTACAAGAAATCCCAATATTTCTCATCTAGAGCTACAAATACAACTTCTGGCAGCTACCGGTGTGAATGTTTCAGTTGAAAGGTTTATACAGTGGGGGAGAGTTACGGGTCCCATACTTATCTCGGCAAAATAAAATTGACCGGCTAAATTGGTGCCTTCAACATCAAAACTTGACAATTGAGAATTGGCAATATGTTCCTTTTTTTCAGATGAGACCAGAATTGGCCTAAGATGAGATGACCATCGAATTCGGATTCTTAGAGATCCAGGAAGACGAGCTTGACTCCAGGCAGCCAAATCTGTACCAAGATATAAAGGAGGAACTGTAATAGTCTGGGGAGGTTTTATGGTGGGAGCAAAAACTCCATTGTTACCGCTTCAACAAGCTTTAACGTGTCGGAGGTGTCGGACTATGATTTAGTGCTAGAACCAATCGTTGGGCTTTGGGTAGCTGCAGCTGGTGATCATTTTAACTTCATGCACGATAATTTACCTCCCCATACCAGCAGATAGAGCTCATCGAAACAATCCTGGAAATCTCGCACAGCTTATTGAATCAGAATTACCAGAATGGGAAACCATACCCCAAGACAGTGTTGATAATTTAATAAGAAACATTCTTTTTGATTTTGCCTTTTGGCCATTAAAAATTTAAAACTTATTTCGTTTCAGACACCAAAAAAATACCATTGTGTTTATTTTGGGAACTGATTATTTTTTTATTGTTATATGGATAATTTTTCATTAACAGTCTTTTGTAAGGACTGAATTTTATTTATTATGAAAAATAATATATGATTCCATATAGGTTTGGTTGTTTTAAAGTTGAAAAAACTGATATATTTTATCTTATTTTAAGTAAAAGCTCATTTTATCAATATGTGAACTGTTTTTAACATATACTTTATCATTAAATGGTATTAATTTATATTAACATTGACTAACATGTGTCTTGTTTTAGTACAGAAAGCGAAGCCAGCCTACCAGAGTAAGCCCACCACAATCAAATCCTCTATGAGCTACATTTGTCCACAAAACTGGATGGTTTTGGGAAGCCAGTGTTATTTGTTCAGCAGAGATAAAGCAACTTGGTCCGATGCCCATTTCAATTGCGCCCACATCAATTCCAGACTAGCTATTATCAGGTCAAGAGTTCAAGACAAAAAACTGAAAATATTTTTGAACGGATTTACGGGTAAGTTAACGTTCAGCGAATTTTAATAATAAAAACTATTAATTATTGTGTCTTATGCCAAAGAATGGAATTTACATAATCTGTCTGTGTATGGTATTCATTTACTCTATGAAACGAAGAGAATTTTTTTTATAATTTTTTAACAAACTTCCTGCTTATGATACAAATGTACCTATATGTAAAAGTTTATACTATACAAGGTGAGTCTTAAATAAGTGCAAATATTTTCAGGGGTATATTTTCAGTATTTCGACCACAGGAACACACATCTGTGAGTTTTTTTTTGCAAAGAAAAGATATTGAAAATCGTGCATTTTCTTTTAAATTTCCCTGTATATTTTTCGAGAACTTTTTAGAACTGCCTGTTTACCGCAAATTTTCAAAAGGTATAATTTGTATTATCCTGTATAATCAATATTAATTTATACTATATAAATCAATCTGTACTTTATTCACCCAAATATCTGTATGGTTACTTGGCGTAACTCGTTCTTCTAATTTTGCGTCTAGGCTTTTTTTGTTTTGGTCATAGTTTTCTAATACAATAAAATATTAATAAGAATTAAAAAAATATTGGCATAAATAATGCCAAATTTTAATAATAGTATCCAGGGTGGTTCACCACATACGACACAGAGTATATTGTAGATAAACGATTAGATTTTTACAAATTGGGTATACATATTATATTGGGAAACAAGTTTTGGGTTCGTTGAAGGACTATTAGAGCTACAATTTAAAAATAATTTTACAAGATACAGAGTGTCCCAAATAAGTAAAAAATACTATAGATGTATTTTTTTTTGAATGGAACACAACTGTATACACAACTGTATATTATTATATTTTTAGATTCAACGATTGAAATAAAGGTAAATTTGATTAAGGTTTATCACACTTAAACCTTACCGTTACCTTACCGTTTAAATATTTCCAATTTTGTGAAATTGCAGTAAAAAAATCAAGGCTTCATTTCTCCAAGGGTATCAAACTTTTTAATACTAAATATATTTGCTGAAGTTTATTTATTATTCAGATATTGTGTTGCAATAATAATAATTATACTACCTTATACAGAGTGTCCAAAAATTTATATTAAAATGATTACTAGCTTTAAACGGCAATAACTTGTTTAATTTAAATGAAGCACCCTGTATATTTTAAATGAGATGTACAATTTAATTGTCTATCATATTGTATTATACCATTTTTACCTATCTCTTCAAGTTTTCGTAGAAAATGCATTTTCTTATAATTTAGACCTCATTTATCACTATACCCATGGAATATTGACATTTTAGATTTTTTTAAGGCAACATATTATGTACAAAATGTACAGGTGGTAAAAATAATAACTTTGATAACATCAAGTCCATTTGTTAACAAAAACAAAACTATTTAAATGTTTGTAAAAGAGTCTACCAATTAAGTATACCACCATTATTTCCGCCCCAAAAAATAGTTAATTACATACTTAATTGTTTTAGTTAATAAATTATTCTAAATAAATATGGATTTGACTCAATTGAAATCAATATAATAAGTTATGAACATGAACGTCCCTGTTATAAATAAGAGCATTCGTCAAAAAAATAAATAAAATTTATAAGATGTTACTTTTTACCGCACTGTCTAATACACATACAAAATTCAGTTTTTTAGTACTTGGAGCAATTATTATTAATCAACGTAAACAGGCAATTAATGTAGTTTGAATACTGGATTCATATTAATTGGTCAATTGATTCTCTTTAACAAAATATATTTAAATGTGCAATAATTAATAATTATTGTTGTCTGGAAATTCTCATTGATCTTCGAATGGCATCCATTTGTGTGTCTCAGGGTGCTCAGGTCTCGCTTTTCCAGAGTGTCTCATTTAAAAAAGAATACAACAATAATATTTTTACTTATTTGGGACACTCTGTATCTTTTAAAAATATTTTTAAATTGTAACTCTGATAGTCCTTCCACGAATCCAAAACTTACAATTTGTAAAAATCTAATCGTTAAACTACAATACTCCGTGTCGTATGTGGTGAACAACACTGTATATGAAAAGATACATAATGGTATTTTATTTATTTATTATTAGAAAAACAGGAAAGATGGATTGGTGGAAGGTTCAATGACAAGACGAAAAAGTGGGTGTGGGCTCTAAATGGAAATCAGTTAAGGTATCAAGGATTTGCTGAAGAAGTCTTACAGAATCCGACAAACGGATCAAACTGGAACGCTATTATTATGGATCCCCAATATTCTTACCAGTAAATATTAACTTCCATTCTTTTTAACAAGTAACAAAAAATTTACTTTTTCAGATGGAGTTATAGAAACGAGATGGAAAAGCATAACTACATATGTCAAGTGAAGGGCATGGCAGTGAAAAGGTTAAATCCGCCCAGAGGGGCCACAATCGAGATTACCAGTCATCCTAGATACCAAATGCGAAGTTCGAGCGGCCGAGCTACCAGACGAGCTAACAGAAATAAAAGATTCTAGTACAATAATAAATAGTTGTGTTTCCTTAATATAAATAGCTTTTAAACAGTGTGACACTCAGGCACCATTTGAAAAATATAATGTTGGTGTCGTCAGGCTTTATCAGTATTAAATGTTTTTACTGCAGTAAATACGATTCCTATCAAGGTTTTAGTTTATATAGCTAAATTCATTAAAAAAGTAAATAATGTCTTAAAAATAATAGATATTTGGAGATAACTAGAGTAAATTGAAAGCTTAAAGAAGTTTTTATCAAAATAGGGGTAACCCTCTTTTGAGAAACACTCGGTATTATAATCTGTTGATGTATTTGTTTATTCTATGTATATGTTACAGTGAAAGTCGGAAATTCAGTGATTGTTAACATTCACTAGGAAATGTTAACAATTACGCATTGGACCAGTGAATGTGGTATTTTAAAGTGATTTGTCGACTTTTCCTAGTAACTTCTAACATTCACTAGTGAAAGTAACATTTTCATTTAATGACATTCAGTTATCGAATTTTAACTACAGAGCAGCCTCCCTATTTGTTCTAATTGTTTCACTACTTTGACCATGATCATTCGACTAGGCAAGTGCATTATTTTAAAATTCCTTAACACCGAACAGCTAACTTCCAAAAATCGTTCAGTTTCATAGCGCCACATTTGTGGAATAATATTTCTAATAACTTTAAATTTCAATCCTTTACAGATTATAAAAAACAAATTAAAAATTATTTACTAAATTTGTAAAAAATATAATTTGGTCGACTGATTTGTGAGGTTCTTGTTCTTCTGATATGTCCGTCATTGGTTGCTGTTCCGGTTTTTACACTGTTTCGTTATGCCTCTCTGCTTTTCTCCGCTCATCCCTGATAAAATTATATTTTCACTTTTTTATCTAATTTTATTTTTTTTAATTCTGTTTATTTTTATAATTTAATTTATTTCTATTTTGTTTTTGGGGTCGCACCACTCTAGCACTTTGAGTCATTGTATAATTTTTTTAATCGCGGTGCGATCCCTTTAGACACACATTTATTAATAATAATATTATTCTGTAAAAATGGGGTCTAATAAAGAAATTTGAATTTGAATTTGAATTTGAATTTGAATTTGAATTTGAATTTGAATTTGAATTTGAATTTGAATTTGAATTTGAATTTGAATTTGAATTTGAATTTGAATTTGAATTTGAACTTGAATTTACTAAAAGTTGTCAGTAAAAGTTATTCTATTGTACAGGATGAGTGTGGTGAGGAAGAATGTTGGTGGAAGTTAGAACAATTAAAACTTTTAAAAATATTGGATCACCTCAATATTCAAGCTGATCCACATGTCTTAAAATAACAATTTACTTCTTTAGTATATTTATTAAAAATTATAGAAATAACGACGATAAATAACCTTATAAATATTAAAAGGGAATACATAGTAAACATTTTAAAGCGTATAAAACAATTTAAAAAGAACATTCATAAACAAAAAATGACTTATTGGTACAAGATTTCTTTTAAACTTCTTCATCGTGGACAAAATAAAGTATGCTTGAATTTTCTTCAACGGGAGTTATTCGTTTTTTCAAACCCGCTACAGGCATATCAAATCGTTTAATAAGTTCACAGTCACTAGGTTCCTTAATATATTTTTCTCTTGCACGCTTAACTTTTACTATGGCTTCATTATATTGCAAAAATAAAAAAACGCACTGTTACAGCGAGTGTTTAGTTTACCTTAATTTTTCACAGAAAATTTCTTCCATAGGGAAAATACCGCACAGCACTTTTTACAACGATAACAAATTTTGAATTTTTGATTTTTTTTTTGAAAAAATCAGTGAATATGAGCTTTTACTAGTAATAACAATCACCGATTTCCAACTTTTACTGTAACATATACATTGTGATCCTGAAGATCTTTTGTGAACGGAAACTTATTTAGATGTATTGAATGACTATTTTTAGCTAACAATATTTAATTCTTACTCAAATAAGCATCTTCTGATTATGTCAAAATTTATCTATTTTCTTTGTCGTTCAATACATTTTATATAGTGGCCACTTATAGTAATGCATGCGTAATTAAATGAGATACAGTTAAGGAAAGAAAATTAGACCTAAGATTTAATGTTTTATTTACGGAAATCATATGAATTATTTATTGATAGATTAATTCTAGAGGAACATCTGCGATAATGGAAGCAATTTAGTGTACTAATTCTTGATGGTATCTAGTGTTATTCATATTTTCTTTTTCTTTCAATTAGTTAACCTTAACTGATATTTTTTTCTCTTAATTTTTATTCTTGATATGATTTAACAGTTAAGTGATTACATAATATTATTTTTCCATAAATACTGCCTATTATCATAAATAATCAACAACAAATTCAGATATATGTCATCTTTATTAATTAACAAATATGCGTCTTTTGGGACAAGAATGCTGATATGATCAGAAAAAATTAACATACGATGAGTTTGCAAGCCATAATCATACAAATTACGATAGATCCGCAGGTATAGCCCTAACATATTGTTAATAATGCTAATATTAAACACTGTAAATGTTGTCATAGCTAATTTAATAACAAGATTTTAAAAATATGTTTTTTTTATTTTCTGAAGTAGTAATCTACAGAAATTGCAAATTATACATATGTTTTAACTATTATAAATCTTGATTGACTTATTTTTATAACTGTCTGTCGGTATCTCGGTTAGCACTTTTCAGTAACTGGTTTTAGACTATATTTTTAAATATTAATGATTCGAGAAATAGTTAATTTTTTAGCTTTTTTAAAGCACAACTAAAACAGTTTTAAAAATTTTCTAAAAGTCCTTCTGCTAAATAAATTTATATATATCTCTGAAAAACAATATGATTATGGATAATATTAAACCTTTTTTTTGTTCTATATGTTCTGTTGCACTATCAGTAATAGAAAGATGTTATTTATATTTATAATTTAGCTATTATCAAGTTAATACTGCCATTATTTATTAATGATATAAAAATAAGAGATTTGTGAATTCTTCAGAAAAACCAATAGTTAATATTTATAGCTACATTATTTTATATATGTATATAAAAACTCCTCGTTTGTAGAACAATTTTTATTACACTAATTACAGTTAATGTTTGTGAAATAATAAATATTCGTAATAAATAGTAAAAAAATACATTAAATCATGAAAACAAATAAGCAAATATACATAGTGTTTAGTACTAATAGAGTTACCTATTTCTAGGCTTATTGCTTGTTGTAAAAGCTTTAATTAGATATTAAAAAATAAAAGATCTTTATATAAATACTTGAGTTTGTTTATTATTATAATCTTTAAATTAAAATGGCGACTTATTAACGACTTAAATTACTAACTAAAGGAACATTCTCTGCGTTTAAGATTTTTATGAACATATTATCTTACATAAGTTGATATGGATTATAATTTCATATTTATGAAATTAAGTTTAATATTTACACACAAATACTGTTTTATTTATAATGCCAAATTGAGTAGTACTCTGAACATTTTAACTTAAAGGGTAGGTTTCAATAAAAAAATGTCAAGTAACTTTATCGTAAGTATATTTTGAAGTTATAGTATTTCCGAAGTCAATTGGAAGTATATATTTAATTCATTTTTATTTACTAGATCTCCATTAATCAATTATACAAAGTGAGCCTTAAATAAGTGCAAATATTTTTAAGGGTGGTATATTTCAACTAGGGTTTCCAAACCGGGATCACGGTGTATGTTTAATCGCGAAATTCCGATATTAAATCCCGGGATCCCGAAAAATTTAAATGCCCTATAATCTAAAACGATTCGATTTTATACACTTTAGTCTAAAAAGATCATACTTTATTTATACTAAGCAGAACGTCAATATCTAAAAGTCTATATCTATATTTCCATGTTGCTATATTTTATTTTTTTTCACAAGAATTGATTTTTATAATCACTAATTATGAATGTTACATTGTTTTTTCTATTTTAATAAAGTTCTTTTCTGATTTTCTTTTGATATAATATAGCTACATATTATGTAGCTCCAATTTACTAAGTACCTATTTCTTTAGATTAAATTTCTTATTCTGATAGTCAATCCCGGGATTCCAAAAAAGGGATCCCGATCTCGAAAATTGTAAACCCTAACTTCGACCCCAATAACACGTGTGGTATATTTCGATCCCAGGAACACCTATGAGATCCCCCCCCCCCCCCAAAAAAAGAAGGTGTTGAAAGTCGTGCATTATATGCATAGGTACGAGTGTTTCCAAACCGGGATCCCGGAATCCCGGGATTATAGGTTCTAAACCCCAATCCCGAAAATTGGAAACCCTAATGCATAAATTTTCTTGTATATTTTCGAAAACTTTTAGAACTGAACTTTTGACCCTCTGTAATAAATATACACAATTTTAATAGGAAACTATAACTTAAACAAGATCCCTCAAAATATACTGTAACGGAATTCAAAAGTACTACTCTATTTCTAAATAATATGGCAATAAATGAATAGAAATCATACTTAAATAACATAACCCGTAAAATATTACATACTCATATTGTTCGTATATCTTATTTCTTTCTTATTAGGTATTCATATTCAATTTTTACCTAATCATAATTTTCGTTTTTTTTTCAATTTACAACCAAGTTAATTTCAATGCCAATATAACATTATGTGTAGACGGGGTTTTACTCTAAGAACATTTCTGTCTAAGAGGAAGTTACTAGTTTTAAAAATATTGTTTACTTTTAAATTTCGCTATAAGACTGTTTCCTATAATGTAGGCTCGTATTTAAGGTTTACCCCGTATTAGAGGCGACTATCCTCTAAGTGGTAAGGCGGGATGCTTCTTCCTTGATATGTATTTATACAGGATGATTCACGGCCATGGCACATTAGACTTTTTGGGGAACCGGTGATTCCTTTGAAAGATTTTTTTTTGAAAATTTCGATTTTTGCATGAACTCACCTGCTCAATCTGTCTAAATGATTTTCAGCATTACAGTGTTGCCGCTTCATACTTAAAGTGGTAGCATCTTTGTTATTTTAAATTGAACAGCCTGTATATTATTATATTTTTCGAAACTACTTCCATATCTCAAAATTTTTCTATTATACTAATCTCATTTTTTTCTGTTATACTAATCCACTTTTCAAATGATACGGCAACACCGGAATGTTAAAAAAAATTAGAAAGACGAAGCTGGTGCCTTGATGTAAAAATCCAGATTTTCCAAAAAAATTCTATCATCGGTTCTCCATAAAAGTCTAACGTGCAATCTCCGTGAATCACCCTATATATAGTGACTTTTCTCTAAGATATATTGTAAAAAAGCAATTGCGCAAATTTTCAAATTATATCTCTATACATACATTAAAATGTAGATTTTCATTCTTTATGCACATAAGTGTTCTAGCAATTCTAGATATTCAAAGTAGAGTATAGAATATACAAAATTGGCAGTCTAAAAAATTACATAAATATCCACTTCTTAATTAAAATGACATTCAACCGCCATAACTGAATGTTTTTTTATAACGAATATATATTTTCAAATTATGTCATTCGCTGATTTAAATTAAATTTCTTTGGCAAAGTTATATTCCTCCACAATTGGTTTTGGACGTAGTGGGTCTGTGCTTTTACTGCTCTCCTTATAGCTTTTGTAGTAGATTTTCATTGGAAATGCAGGAACCTCTTCGTCTCTTACTAAAAATAAAGATGGGAAATTATATCACACAGTATATTATAGGAACATCTCTTTAAAAACCTTTGTTCCTTCTTCGTCTGAAATTCTGCTGTCCTGTGTTTTCGTAAACCGTACCGTTGGGGAACTGCTTCAGAAGCGGTACAGGTTGTTGGTTCTTCTTCTTTTTTCTTCCGTTTCGTTTCCTTTTCTTCGGAATTTCTGATTTGAACTCAGAATTGACCTCTATTTGGAACAGGTTACCGACAGATCTGGCAGGCAAAATTTTCTGTAGGCCTTTGTAGTGAGAAGAATTTGACAAAATGTCATTGGAAATGTCTGGAATGGGTACTTCGTTCAGAGGGTTCATATTGTACTGTTGCAATAACTTCTTTCGGGATCTGTTATTGGTGATGGTTTGAATCTTTTTATGGCAAATAAAATGTTTCTCTTGCAGGCAACTTTTAGAATTCCACCTAAAACCAAATAAAAAGAAAATTTATTTATGTTTTAGAGTTTTGAACATCCAGTGTTAGTAGCAGATATCGAAGATGAAGTTATTCTCGGAATGGACATCATGACCACTAGAGGTTTTGAACTAAACTTTAACCAGGAATTTTGAAAATAAATGAAGAAGTGGTTCTATATCGAAAATGTGAGGAGACACTTCGCATGGTGGTAGCAGAAGATTTTTCGATCCCTGAGCGGTTTGAGGTATTTTTGGATGGTTGCCTTGTTTGGAAGGTAAAATGAATAATGGGAGTATTATTCTGTTGGAGCCAAGGAACAATGACAGCGAAATAGGACGGGGGGTCGCTATAGGAAAAGCCCTGTCCTTGAAGAAGGGAACCCTATTACGGTATTGTTGCTCGGTCTCCTCAGTTATTCGAAGCATGGAAGCCTCCAAAGTTTCAGCTTCAAAAATTTCGGACAAAATGGTGAAGGCGCTAGTAAATGTTAATGGATTGTCTTCCCAAGATATTAGAAAATTGAGAAATTTCCTATTTATTAATGGAAAAGTTTTGGGCTATTTTACTGCTCTGTGGCTTTTTATTTTACTTATTTCAAACGAGAATTTTTTTTGCAAGCTGTTGGCATTTTATTTTACTTATTTCAAAGGAGAAAAGTGGAAACGAACTTAAAGCGAAACTCAAGAACCTGGAAGACTCCGTCTGTAACATGGAATGGAAATCCACAAACTGTCTAAGACACTCGAATATAATTTCTCAGAACTTACAATCGAGAAAAATCAAAGATTTTCCTTGATTTAAGTAAGAACAATATTTGGATTATCACGGGGTTTTTAACAAGACACTCTCTCCTCAACGAACATCTCAGTAGATTGAAGCTAAGAAACAAACGACAAATGCAGATTCTGTGTGGAAAATGAGTTCGCCGAGGCAACAACCATTCGTGCCATGAAGTTTGGTTTGGTTGTACGACTGATCGGAGATAGAAAACTAAAAACGTCTCAAATATCTACTGGTTTTCGTCAAAGCCCTGGGACGATATGATGAGTTATTACTCAAGAAAGGGTGACACAAAATAGATTTGTAAGGTCAAGGTGATTAACCCCTCTACCATATATTCTACACTCTAGGTAGTTTTTTATCGATTTAATCTAGTATCTTACTTATAATCTAGTTTTGGATCGATTACAATGCAGTTCCATTGTAAATTCTCTTCAGTTTGATTAACAGATGAATCAAAACCATCATACAAAACTGTTTTTCCAGAAGCTGCCCATTTCCACCTTTTTTGCTGCCAATCAAATCGTCCACCAATCCATCTTTCTAACGGTTCTAAAAATGTGTTATAGATTCAATAGTCTTTTCAAATCATTGTTACAACTGACTTACCTAAACTACTTCTACTCAATGTTTTTCTGATAAGCTTTTCCTGATTGATGTTCTTTATTATTGCCAAGTTACTGTGCATAGACTGACACTGAAAATAGGCTTCTTGCCACGTGGTTTTTTCCTTGCTGAAAAAATAACATCTGTGACTTAACCTAATGAATTTTGGGGGGCAGGCGTAGCTCCTCTTCACTGGTGATCTGATGTACTCAGCGAAAACTGAAAGAATATATCATTTATTAGAATACTTCTAGGTGATAATTTCTTTTTACTTTCTTTATATCTAAAGTAGAAATTCACGGTTGTCTTACAAGTTAACTAGCTCTAAGCTTACTAGAGAAAATGTGTCGCTGCTTAACAACATTTTAAAAGTCAGTAGCCTTTTTGAAACAATATCATATATTATTATTTTATTATAAAATTATTTATTTTTATATTTTTAACAGACAATAATTGCTAAGGTAGATCAGTACATTTATTAAAAATAAATTTATTTCAATATTAGGTATTTAGTTTCTCAACCACTGCGTTATTGCCTTACGAAGATCCTCTGGCATCTGCTTAAGACGGAAAATAGATGCATCAAGCTTAAAATTAAACCAGGAAGGCTTGGCATATCAAAATAAGTAAGATATGTTCTATTTTATAATCATATGTAGTGACAGTGACTATATACGGGGCGTCCAGTTGTAAAACCAGCCTTATTCATTTAAAAAAAAATGCCTAATGATATATATTAATAGTGGAGCCTAAAATCTACATAAACATAGTCCCAAACTGCAGCAAAAATGGCCTATTCCTATATAAAATTTACTAAAAATTTTGTTACTGTAGCAAAATCCATCTTGTTTGCATCGATGTTTGTTTTTTGTTGCAAATCCCGCATTTTTTTAATAAGTTTTTTTACACAAATATAATAATACTACTGACAGTCTTATCCTTTTCAAATCCTTACCTAATTTTAATAAAATAGCATATCTAAAAAATTTAGCACACATTTCAAAGTATTTTGAAAAATAACCCTTTATTTTTAAATATTTTCTTGGGTATATCTGTTTTCTCATTAAACTTGCGATCAAAGCAAAAAGAAATATTATTTTTAAAACTGAACAATCTAAATATAATGTAAAATAAACAACATAAAAGTTCACTTATATATTATATCGCCAATATCTAAAATGGAAGCAGCTAAAAAAATAAGGTTTCATAACAAACTTGGAAATACATTATTTTTATTTTCATTAGGACACGCTATGCTTTTATTCGTATATTTAAATATATACCGGTTGCGGCTCAAAATTGTGGCTCACGCCTATAACTTTTTTATTTTTCAGATAAAAAAAACGAGGTTTGTAAAAAAACTAAATTTGGTATGTTATTATATGACATAAATTAGGATTGATTGACGTATTCAATTGTTTTTGGACACTTCCTGTTTCACCGAAAATGATTACAACTTTTGAGTTTTAAATGGCACCCTAAAGTCCTAAAAGATTTCAATCTTTGATAGATAGTTATTATTAATTTTGATTAACGTCATAGTTTTTGTTGTTGTTAAAGTATTACATTTTCCGATAACTATTATTACCCTTCAGTAGCATCGAACTGAATACATTTTGTGCTTTTTTAACATTTTAAAATAGCAAAAAATATGACCTTAATTAAAATTATATCAATAACTATCTAAGAATGAAAACTAAATTATATTACCATAGGAACGTGTTTTGATTTTCAGGATTTGAAAAAATTTAACTACATTTTCATGTTTTTCTTAATTTTCTCTAAAACTGTATGAAAATTGGGAAAAGTATAAACGGAATTAACCATATTAAAACAAGCAAACAATTTTGTAAAGAATGCATTTTCCCGAATTCTGCAATCTGGGGACATACTGTATGTTAAAACAAAATATGCAACAATTTTGGCTATGTATTTATTTTAATGTCACAATTGCAATTACGTAATATTAGTTGGTTAAAGTAGTTCACTCTGTTAGATTAGGGCGTAATGAGACGGTTTATTTCAATTCTTAACACCTGTCTGATTGTGGTAATATCAAAATCCGTTGCATGTGGTCCAACCTCCATTGAAATTCAATTTTTAATATTTACCTTACATAATGTACTCCAAATTGGTTTCACATTCACATTGTTCAGAACAATCTATCGATATTGTTACGAAATTAATTTCAAAGAGGACCTTCATGATAAATAACGAACCATTCGTTTTACCTATTCATTGTATTAACAATAATTTTTAAATGTTTTTTAAATCTTTGTTTGTAATCTCTCTACATTGTCACATAAAATCATAAAATATTATTTTGGTTTAAGATCGCTTTCTTTTTGTATTTTTTAATTTTGTATTTTTTAATAGACGTCTTATTAATGACGATAATAATTGCAGATAAAAATTGTATGATAAGATCAATAAAAATATAAACGTACTAGCGTGTACCAGCGACTTCGTTCGCGTCGAATTAATCATTTGTAATGGTTGATGATAAAGCAAAGCAAGAATTTCCATTAACATACAAACTGGATAAAATTTTCTCACATTTATGTCAGCATGAGAAAAAACAATATGGCGATATTATTATATAACTTGGTAATATTTGAGGGGTAGTTTCATCTCGTTGGAATTTGACTTTCGAAAAATCCGTTTGTCAGAAGTAAGCTTTTTACGTCAAGCAGTTTAAGCAGAATCGTGGTTAAGAAATTACCCAACTTTTTGGAACACCCTGTATGATTTTTTAAAAATTTTAAAATATTTAAAAAAAAACAAATAAATTATGCTTGTCCAAGCGTTTTCCCGAAAGACTAAACGTTTTTTAAATAACAAATATTGTAATATTTCAGGGGCGTTTTCACCCTCTTGGAATTTGAGATTCGAGAAACCCCTCCTTATCGAACCTCTACACCCCACAGTCAATCCGTTTGCCAAAAATGAGCTTTAAACGTCAAGCAGTTTAAGCAGAATCGTGATTAATCAATGGTCATATTTTATGAAACACCCTGTATAATTTATAAAAAATCTTAAAATATGTAAAACAACAAAATAAAATATACCTGTTTAAGAGTTTTTCCGAAAAACTCACCGGTTTTTAAATAAAAAATATTTTAATATTTTAGGGATAGTTTCACCCCCTTAGAATTCGAGTTTCGAAAAATCCCTTCTTATCGAACCTCTACACCCTAAAGTCAATCTGTTTTCCAAAAATCAGCTTTTTACGTCAAGCGCTTTAAGCAGGATCGTGATTAATCAATGACTAGATTTTTCGAAACACCCTGTATACACTATTAAAAAATCTTAAAATATGTAAAAAAACAAAATAAAATATACGTGTTTAAGCGTTTTTTCGGAAACTTGACCGTTTTTTAAATAAAAAATATTGTAATATTTGAGGGGTGGTTTCACCCTCTTGGAACTGGAATTTCGAAAAATCCCTTCTTATCGAACCTAGAATCAACGAGTGGATTGAGCAGGATCGTGATTAATCAGTATGTCAGTCACTTAAGGATTTTATATATTAGTATAGATATTCAAAAAATAATTTACCTGGATTAAAAGACCCCACGTATTAAATTGGAATAACAAAATGGTTACAGGTAAAAATACTGAAAGAATACTAAAAAAGAACAGCACAGAAAAAGGTCCTTTACATTTGGTGGGTATTTTCGACAATAAGTCATGTTGTCCGTATTTGAATTGCAAATTTTATGATTCAGAAAAGAAATTCTTAGTTAATTCAAGAAATTCTTGCTTGAATATATCACTCTATTGTTTGTTGTTGTATATTTATAAACCGTTAACAGAAATAAAATTATCAATCACTTCTTCGATCAAACTATTTCATTTCATTAAAAATCTCGTCAATACTAATAATAAAATTGAAAAAAATATAACAAGAGACAAATCCAACATAACATTCTAAAGTATATATGTATTTGGATTTGAGACAACTGATACACAGCTCGGGATGTCTACTACCAGAAATCAACAGAAGAATTAAGTTAGCATGGAGAAAATTTAATCATATTCAAATCTAGAATGCCACTCTATCTAAAGAAGAAAACATTCGACCAATGTGTACTATTATAACCTATGCATGCAAAACCTGGACACTTAAACGGACATCATAAGGAAACTGCAGGTTGCACAGCGTTCAATGGAACGAAATATGCTGGGAATAACCAATAGAGACCGTAAAAGTATAGAGTGGATACGACAAAAGACCCAGGTAACAGATGTCATCCAGAGAGTCAAATCCCTCAAATGTCAATGGGCAGGACACCTGGCAAGAAGAACGGACAACAGATGGACCACAAAAATTACAGCATTCCATCAGGAAATTATCGCATTCTTAATAAAAATGCCTTGGAAAATAGATTTGAGCGTCTAATGTTTTTAGTGTCTTGTTCTGGCCAGAAAATGCTCAAATCGTATTTTTAATCGTATCTCAATTTTTTCAAATGGAACGAGGGTGGCTCATTAGCATATTTGGAAAAAGCATTTGTTGAACAATAATTTGATACCACACACTTGGTAGTTCGAGGCAAATTTTCGTTACGAACCGTAAGTTATAATTTCAGATAAACCAATGCGAAAATGTCAAAAGTTGAATGTCATTCTATTCAAAGTGTTATTTTCTATAGAATAAAGTAAAAAAATACCGAGGGTGCCATTTAAAAATCAAAAGTTGTAGTCATTTCTGGTGAAACAGGAAGTGACCGAAAACAATTGAATGCGTCAATCAATCCTAATTTATGTCATATACTAACATACTAAATCTCATTTTTTTAACTGAAAAAATAAAAACGTAATAGGGGTGAGGCACTTTTGAGACGCACCCGGTATATCCGTAACACTTTTTGTATTAGTTTTAGTGAATAAGAAAACACTAATTCACGACAATGCACCAAAACACTTCAAAAGTGTTTAGTATATTGTGGTAAATCAGTGTTTATTTTGCTGTAGTAACACCAAAGGTTCTAACCCCTAACTATAATATTAAATTTGTTATTAAATTATGGAATTGAATTTGTGCTATATAAAATGACCAGCATAGATGGAACAATGACAATTTATAAATCTTATTCAAGACAGATTTCTTAATTTGCTGCTATGACTGTCCTCTATTCCAGAGGACAGTCCTCTTTTTTATCTCACTGTTCTCTTTCCTCTCGCGAATTTAAAAAGTCCTCTTTTTTACATACCAAATTTAAAATCTAAAAAATATTCGTCTATCAGTACAATGCTTTAAAAACTTGTTAATATGTCTCTTTCGCTTCTTCCACTCGTTTGTACAGAAAAGAAAATGAAGAAATATTTGTGGAAGCGATAAACATGTTTAACTATTTTATGTTACTTACTGTTAGCTGATTTTTTGAAAAAAACAGATTTGTGAAAATGGTTTTGAGTATAAAAATGTTTAAGAAAGTAACAAAGACCATGAATCGCATATTGTTTAAATAACTTTTTGGCAAATTCTAGAAATGTGGGCGAGGTTTCAAAAAAAAAGGTTTCGCCTGTTCCTCTTTTTTATTCTTTCGTCCTCTATTTTTTATTTTGAAAGTTGGCAATCCTCTTATAGACGTCAAAATAATTCATTTTTCTATATTGAACGTAGTGAATTGACTCCGCATAAACTTTTTTCGGTAATTCAATAATAATTTTCAATTTGTAATTTTCAATGTGTTTTATGTAGCAAAATTCAATTTAATATATTAATAAACTTGATTCGGCAGTATTGTCATACGCTTATATAATTTACCTGTTATACTTGCCAGTGCCACCAGCAACAGCGACTTCATCTTTAAGGCCATTTTCGGATTTATGATTTCCCCGAAATTTTTCAGTGCCGCTTACACCATTCTCTCAGGGTCGATTGCGTCACAAATATTTACGGCCAATCCTGTAAAAAACAAACCATAACATTAGTTAATCAACTAGAGGGGAGATTATGCGTTTCGGTCATGGTGTTTTAAACAATGAAGTAATTTAAGCCTTTTTTAATGAATTTATGAGCCGAAAACTATGGAATGTTATTGCTCTAGGGGTCACTAGATGACGGCTAATTTTGGCCGGTGACGTTGATCTTCGAAAACCATCATTCAAGCTGGCGTGCTCTAGTCATAGAGATTAAAATTATTAGATAGATTACCACAGGTTTTTAAAATGAAAATTAACACTTTCAGGATAAAGCGTGTTGGAAATTATTTTATGCTGTAGTTTAATATCGCACTCATATTTTGATATTTCTTTTAATAATATACGTCTTAACTACTGTCTTAAAAACTTAATTTTTTAGCAAGTTAACATTAAAATGTTTGCAATAAGTGTGTTCAAAGACTAGGGATGTATCATTTTACATTTCAATAAGGTGTAATACATCTTTAAGCAGTGAATATAAAAATAAGATATACAAGGTGGCCCGAACTGTATTCTGGAAACTTCGGCGGCATATTCTGCAGATAAAAATAATTAAAAAACTTTGTATAAATGTAGATATGTCCAAAAATGCTTTGTATCGGAGATACAGGGTGTAGAAGTTTCATATTTATATTGATTTTTTCCAAATAATTTATGATATAACGTCAATATTTGGATGATAATTGGTGTCTGGGAGTTTTTTGACATGATCAATTGGATTTTGATGTCAATATGACTCCTACTTGTAGAGGACACCACCAACATATTTTATAACTGGTTTGAAGAGTAATAACTTTTCGTCCGTACCTGTATAAAACTGCTGAGTAAAAAAATATACATTTACTACGTTTTCTACATAAAAAGGGTCTCTTGATAAAAATCTCTACGAGTAACTGTTCTCGAGATATTTCATCCGAATTATCAATACCTATCATCATTGACAAAAATTAAACATATGTTGACTAATTATTATTAGTTATTAGACTGAAATCATAAATTTGAAATGCTTTTTGCCAAAGGTTCAACAGAAACTGTTATATCATCATTTTTTCGCAGAAAAATTTATGATTAATTTAAAAAAAAATTCCCAAATTTATTATTTCAGTCAAATACCTATCTACTAAACCTGTTTATTTTGTCAATAATGACATGTATTGACTATTTCCATTGTGTTCCATTCTAAAAATCTTTAGAACTGTTGCTCGTGACGATTTTTACCAAGAGACATTTTTTACGCAAAAGGTCACTAAAAATAATATTTTTTCACTCAGTAGTTTTATACAGGTACGGACAAAAAGTTATTACTCTTCAAAATAGTTAAAACGCATGTAGGTGGCGACCCCTACAAATAAGAGTCATATAAACATCAAAATCAAATTTCTCAATGTCAAAAAACTCCCAGACACTAATTTTCATGCAAATATTGACGTTACTTCAGAAATTATCAGGAAAAAAGTTTCGAAATAAAAATCAAACTTGTGCACCCTGTATCTCCGAAACGAAGTATTTTAGGACATACATTTATACGAACTTTTTTACTTATTTTTATCTGCGGAATATGCTGCCGAAGTTTCCGGAGTACAGTTCGGGTCGCCCTGTATACGGTGTATTCCATGCCTTTTGAATATGTTTTGAATGTGCCTTTTAGATTTAGCTGTTTCTGTTCTTTTCTACCCTCTAAAAGACGTTTCTCCGAATTTTTTAGTTTTTCTTTTACCCAACCCAAAAAAAGTTTTGAATTTAAAAAAAATTGCTTTTATTTTTTAAATATTCATAACTTTTTCAAAAATTGACCTTCTGGGACATAACCACATAGAATTTTTTTTAATGTACTTTTCAATAAAAAAATACAACATTTTTTCGAAGATCATGTTATATAATAGCCTTGTATATGAAATATATAAACAAGGATAATAGGTATATCAAATTTTTCAGTTTTTTGAGAGAAACAGTTGGTTTTTCAAAGTTCGTCATTTTTTTGTCATAAAAAACTTCGATCAATTGTACAATTATCCCCACTATTCCTGGAGTGGGCCGATTATTTTTTTATATTTTTGTGATTTAATTGAAAAAAAAATCAGATTTTCTAAAACGAAAAATATTATTTTTTTTTCAAATATTTATATTACAAAAAAATAATTAAACGAATTTAAGATGAAACTGAAAATTTTCATATACTCAACATCACTAAATTTTTTGGTATTTTTTTCTGAAAAGTACATTTAAAAACAAAAATTTTCTATGCGGTGCCGTGCCAGAAAGTCAATTTTTGAAAAAGGCTAAAACGAAAAGCCATTTTTTTTAAATTCATAACTTTTTTTTGGGTTCGGTAAAAAAAAATTGAAAAAATACGGAGGAACGTCTTTCATAGAGTAGAAAAGGACAAGAATCTTGGGGTGGGTTCGAAAGTGGTCGACTTGGTATGGAATACCCAAATACGTAGTGAATCATATTTATTATGATAATATTATCATTTTGAATAATATTTATGAAGCTAAATTAATTGCATCAAAATTATAATAGAGCACCTAGTTGATTCAATTGAATCAAAATGACATATAATACCTTTAATATAAAAACTATAATGCCATATCAGTCTGTATTCTTTAATGTCTATAGATTTAGCCGAGCTACCGCACGTTGCAAGAGTGTAACCTTTCAAGTTTTATTTTTGTTGTTATTAAAACAACGGACAATTTTAAACAGGGATATTTATAGACCCTATATAATAAAGGAAGAAGTGTCGAGCTTGATGTTGATGGATCTATTTAAATTTATGGAATTCTTTGGTTGGAACAATGTATTTGCATTATGCAAGACGAGATCATGCTTTAAACTAAAACAATCCATTTTTAAAATACAATGTGAGGAAATAAGTTATTTTTAGCTTTAAAATAAAGTAATACATTTAAAAGTCATACTTGATGTATTGATTTGTTGGAGTTCTGACTTTTAAACATGCCGTTAATATGATTTCCAATTTAATAAATAATTTATTTTCTATAAATCGAGATGTTAATCAAATAGTAATAGCCAAGTTTCGTCGAGGATACTACATTCAAAGAAGACAAAATAAATATACAATTTATATGCTGGAATTTTATTCAGTAACAAGATTTTAAATAATATGTTGTTAATTTAAATTAAATAAAATATGTATTTAATTAAAAAATAAGAAATATTTAATTGGTATAAATCTAATCACCAAAAAAATTTCGTTTGTACCTCTATTGGAAGAAATACAGGAATTTTCTTACCGCTCTCTTGTATTTCCTTGTCTTTATACCATTTTCTTTTTTTTTTCTAGCATACCGGATACCGGATGCATCTCATAAGTGGCTCACCCCTATAACTTTTTCATTTTTTCAGTTAAAAAAACGAGATTTGGTATGTTAGTATATAAATTAGGATTGATTGACGTGTTCAAATATTTTCGATCACTTCCGGTTTCACCGGAAATGACTACACTTTTGATTTTTAAGCGGCACCCTCGATATTTTTTTAGGTTATTCGATAGAAAATATCACTCTGAATAGAATGACATATCATATGTCAACTTTTGACATTTTCGCGTATGGTTTATTTCAAATTATAACTTGCGGTTCGTAACGAAAATTTGACTTGAAATGCCAAGTGTGTGGTATCAAATTATTCGTAAAAAAATGCTTTCTCCAAATATGCTAATGAGCCACCCCCGTTCCATTTGAAAAAATTGAGATATGATTAAAAATACGATTTGAGCATTTTCTAACTGGCCAGGACAAGGCACTAAAAACATTAAACGATCAAATGTATTTTTCCAAGACTCCTTGATTAAGAGTTAGTGTGTTTAACATAGCCATGGCACTCTAGATTGAATTTTAAAATACGATTTTTTATGAGAATGTCAAAAGTTGACATATGATATGTCATTCTATTTAGAACGTCATTTTTATGACAATTATTTATTGTCAATCAATCCTAATTTATGTCATATACTAACGTACCAAATCTGTTTTTTTTATCTGAAAAAATAAAAAGTTATAGGGGTGAGCCACTTTTAAGACACACCCGGTATATTGGGTTACTAATTTTCAATTATCAATATCAAAAGTTAACCAATTTTGAAAAGGAATTAGAAGATTTTAGAAATTGTATATTTTTACGAGTATATAATATGGGTATATAAATAAATTTTTATATTTTTATATGAAAATCAAATTACACAAACTAAGTGTTAAAAAAATCTATTACAACTTTTGTTTGGTTAAAATTACTTCCAATTTTTACGTATCATATACTATGCGCCGTATGAACCATTTACCTTAGTAACAGTATTTTCTTTGTAATAAGGAAATTATCATGTTAATGTTGTAAAACGTTCTCCCATGTTCATTAATAGTTTCAGTTAATTTTTTTTTAAATATTGGTACATTTTTTAAAAAAAAACCATTTTTAAACATCTAAGTATCTATGTGATTAATACTTTAATACATAGTAATTTGTAGTTTTACATTTCCTGTTCATCCCAGTTTTCATATAGACCATGTTTATTTCGAGTACTTCAAGCAAGCTCCATTTAGAGTCCACTTCACTAGTCTGAAAAAGTAGCAAAATAAGCGTTCGGCATTTAACGTTTTATGTAAAACTGGCTAGATATTTTACACAAATGAAGAAGGAAATTAAAGATAAAGGATTATGATATATAGGTATTGTAGCACATTTTTAGACAACTTTATTATTTTTAAGATTTTGGTGGTCAAACATCAACAAAATATTCCTTATATTTCGACTAAATTTTCTCGAAAATAGACAAGACATAATTTAAAATTCCGTTAAAATACGAAAATAGATTGAAGTTTTGTAATTACAGTGATATATAATTTATATGGTTTTGTAACAAATTGCTCGCTATTTTATGGCAAATGCTGAAGCTCTGCAAACCATAATCAAGTCTTAATCAAAGCACGTGTGTTTGGAATTTTGGATATGGCTTTATGGCTT